CTCTCTGTCCAAAATGTGGACTTTGCTGTCTGCTGAGTCTTGTCCTGATGGGTTTGTTCGCCTATGTTGTGCCATGCGCTAGAGAACAAACCCACGAGGACAAGGTTCAGCAACCGTGAGATTGTTTGCATTGTCTACACAGCCCTGAGGAAATCAAACGAATGACTTTAGGAGAATGCCTTGACGTTTCCCTTCTTCTTCATTGCTATGTTCCCAAAATCTCTACACAGAAAAAGCTTCCATTCACATTCTCCTACTTGTGATGAAACTATGGACCTAGCGAGAACACCCTTTATAAAACACCCTTTATTTGGTTGCCATGATGTAAAAAAGATGCACTCTTTCTAGTGCGGAGAAGAGCAACAAAGATGATTAGGGGATTGGAGGCTAAAACAAAAGAAGAACGGTTGCAGGAACTGGGTATGTCTAGTTTAAGGAAAAGAAGGACTAGGGGAGACACGATAGTGTTCCCATATCTCAGGGGCTGCCCCAAAGAAGAGGGAGTCAAGCTATTCTCCAAAGCACCTGAGGGCGGGACAAGAAGCAAAGGGGTGGAAACTCATCAAGGAGAGATTCCACCTAAAACTAAGGAGAAATTTCCTGACAGTTAGAACAATTAACCAGTGGAACAACTTGCCTCCGGAAGTTGCAAATGCTCCAACACTGGAAATTTTAAAGAAGATATTGGATAACCATTTGTTTGAAGTGGTGTAGGGTTTCCTGCCTAAGCAGGGGGTTGGACTAGAAGGCCTCCAAGATCTCTTCCAACTCTGCTATTCTATTCTATTCTAAAGTGAGAGGAAAGGATTATTGTACAGGTTGGGAATAATAGGAAAGATTGCCTAGAGATTAGAGAGATTGGGGAACTAATGGAAAGATCCCTGGATCTTTATTTGAAGGCGAAAGATGGGACTGATTGTACATTTCATTGTTTAATTATTATTTTTTTTTTTCATTTTTCCTTCTTTCTCTGCAGCTGGCATCTCTTCAGGAGCAGCTAGAAGCTCTGATGGAAAAATGAACCTCTAAACTTCCAAGAACAGATGCTCTGATGTTGACTAAGAAGTCCCTTCTCTTGGTGCTGCGGCCCACATATGCTTAGTGCAGACTCATAACTTTTGAGCTGATTAGCAAGTTCCTCGCAGAAATCTAGATAAACTAGATTTCTAGTAAAGCTAGGTTTCTTACAAATAACATGTGCGCAGAACATGCAGAAAATGTGAATGTTTTGCAAAGAGTGGGATTTCCTGGAAGATGGTCACAAAAACCAGTGTTCATTGCTGAGAGCAAAATTCACTTCAGGACCATTTTTGGTTCTTTTTCAGTTCTTTGTTTTCCAACGAGCCCAATGTCGTACTTGTTTTAAGTGGCATGAAATCAGTTCTTTCTGGCATGAGGGATGACAACACTCTGCATTTTTGTAAATACTGGTTGTGAGAGACAAAAGTTTGCCTCCTAACGTTCCTCTTTACCCATTCATGTTTTTGTCTTCAAGAGCGTTGTGAAATAAAAACAAAGTTTTCTGTATATACTTTTAATGTTATTTGGGGTATATATTTCACAGGTTATCTGATGCTATTTAAGTATATTGCATATAATGGCCCAACCACCTAGCAATCATTCTCACAACAGCTCCAATTTCAAAAAAGTGACACTCACAAAAATTTACCTTAGCAACTTGAAGCTGTATAGACTTCCGCTTCCAGAATTTCCCCAGCCAAGCGTGCCTTAGAAAAGATCTTTTCCCAGATGTCTGGGGGAAAAAACAAGGTATTTTTTATTCCTCGAGAATTCTGTTTGTGATAAACTAGAGTCCTTGTGTGATAACACAATCACAACCAATCTCTCGAAAAGGATTTGATCACATGGGAATTAGAATGTACAAAGTTTAGGCTTAAACAGAGATGCAAAGTATGGAATAATAAGAATAAGAAAATGGTCCAAAAGTACAATGAAAGAGGAGGAAGAATTAGGATTAGGATTAGTTTGTCTATGATGCTCCATCATAGGGAGGAAATTTTTTGCCCTGCCTAATACAAATGTATGGAGCAACATACATATAGTTCTCTACTTACAACAGTTCATTTAGGGATCAAAGTTACAACGACAGTGAAAATAGGGACTTATGCCCATTTTTCAACTTTTGCAGCATCTCCATGATCATGTGATCAAAATTCAGATACTTGGCAGCTGACTCAGACTTAAGTTAGCAATCACGTTGCTAATTTAAGAACTGCAGTAATCCACTTAACACTTGTGGCCAGAAAAGTTGTAAAATTGGGCAAAACTCAACAAATGTCTCAAATTAGCAACATAACTTTTGGCCTCAATTGTGGCCATAAATCGAGGATTACCCGTATAGTTATGTAAGCTTTGCATGGAGCCTAGAGTGACACATTCCAGATCTGAGTTTCTCCCTCAAAACGTATTTATTTAGAGGGCTTAACATGGCCTCCAACCTCATACAGTGATACCAGGTGGTTAAGAACAATCCATAAAACATGGAAACGAAGGTACAGCAGTGGCCAAAATTGTGGAAACCTTTTGGGAAAAGTGTATTTTTGAGGTTTGATGGCTAACAACACTTTTTTTTTTTTGGAGTTTCAAGATAATCCTATTCCACTGCTGGAATAGCCTGGGAATAGCCCCGATCTTAACCTAATTAAAAATCGATGGAGCCGACTAAAGAAACTTGTTAGTCAAAAGCGACCAAGCAATAAAACCCAGTTAACAGAAGCCATCATGCAATCTTGGTTTCACATTATAACAGCTGCAGAACTAAAAGACTTGGTTCACTCCATGGGAAGACTTAAGGTCATAATTCATGCTAAAGGTCACCCAACTAAGTATTAACTGACATAATTTTTGTATATCTCGTTTTGTCTACGTGTTTCACTTTTCTTCTTTTTACTCTAACTGCTATTCTAATAGCAAATCCATCATCAAAGTTATTGCATTACATTCTTGATTCAATTATCTTTCCATTGATATATAATTTTTATGGTACTACTCCCCCAAAAAGTGGGGTTATTAACTAGTTTTAGAAAATACACTTTTCCCAAAAGGTTTCCACAATTCTGGCCACTACTGTACTTTTCCCCCCAGGCACCAGATGAGACATCCTTACAGTTCAACTTCCCCATCCTATCCCAATGCTTAAGGGAAGAGCCAGATCTTCCTAGATCTGCACTCTTTGTAGGAATGTTCTAGTATCATCTGGAAAGTTATTGGTGGCACCCTTTGTTTAGCTTGATCTAATTTTAAATTCCTAAGACAGCAAATCCTTCATTAACCTGGCTGAAAAAAGATTAGTGAACGTTAAAACTTCTGCTGAGCCCTTGAAGAGATGTTCTCGGCCTCTGAAAAGAGTCCTTCGTGCTGTAAAGAGCTCTACCGATAGTTGTCTAGAATCGGTTGCAACTGTTTGGATATCTGTTGCGGCACGCAAGTACAGTATAAATAATTGGAAATTAGGTAGGTTGAAGTGTCCTGTGTGCATGTAAAGAGAAGAATTGTCTTTTCCCAATTTTGAAGGAAAGGGGAACATAACAATCACCACATCGTAACTATGGAAGAAACCTACCTCCTTAGCATGGAAGGAGTCAAGAAGAAGATTTTGCATGGAGGTTACGGGAAACTGCCTCATTTTCAAGATGGGAGCAAGGTAAATGTCTACATGCACTAAGTAGCAATGTTGAGTTTAAGATGGGAACTGTAAGTAGTCATAATAGCCACAGGGCTGGGTTTTTTTGGGCGGGGGGGAGAGCAGATCCCATTCGTTGGGAATGCCCAGTTTGCAGTGGAGTTTCTGTCTGGAAATATTCATTATTATTTTTTCTCAATTTATATTGGGTTTTTTTTAACCTTTAATCTTTCTATCCTATTTTTTCTTCTATATCTTTTCCCCCATTTCTTACATTTCTTTGTGTTTAGCTTCTAAGTTTATAAAAATTATTTTAAGGAAAACAATGTTTGCATAGACTAGAGACAGCAATAGCACTTAGATTTATATACCACTTCACAGTGCTTTACAGCCCTCTCTAAGCGGTTTACAGAGTCAGCCTATTGTCCCCAACAATCTGGACCCTCATTTTACCCACCTCGGAAGGACGGAAGGCTGAGTCAACCTTGACCAGTCAAGATCGAACTGCTGGCAATGGGCAGAATTAGCCTGCAACACTGCATTCTAACCACTGGGAAGGAAGGAAGGGACGGAAGGAAGGAAGGAAGGAAGGAAGGAAGGAAGGAAGGAAGGAAGGAAGGAAGGAAGGAAAATAGCTATAGCACTTAAATTTATATACCGCTTCACAGTGCTTTACAGCCCTCTCTAAGCGGTTTGCAGAGTCAGCATATTGTCCCCAACATCTGCGTCCTCATTTTACCCACCTCGGAAGGACGGAAGGCTGAGTCAACCTTGAGCCAGTCAAGATCGAACTGCTAGCAATGGGCAGAATTAGCCTGCAATGCTGCATTCTAATGACAGGGAGGGAGGGAGGGAGGGAGGGAGGGAGGGAAGGAAGGAAGGGAAGGAAGGAAGGAAGGAAGGAAGGAAGGAAGGAAGGAAAATAGCTACTTAGACATACATATCGCTTCACAGTGCTTTACAGCCCTCTCTAAGCGGTTTACAGAGTCAGTATATGCCCCTCCCCCAACAATCTGGGTCCTCAGATAGCTGGGTAGACGATAGATAGACCAACAGACAGATAGACAGACATCAATTCCAGGTTCTCTTGTCTCATCCGTAGCCCCAGCGGTCATAGGAGAACTCAATGTTGTGACTCCTAAACTGGGAAAGTGACTCCAACTTAGTGGCTAAGTCGCTGAACTTGTTAATCAGAAAGGTCGGCAGTTTGGCGGTTCGAATCCCTAGTATAGGTCTTCTGCATGAACAGGGGGTTGGACTAGTTGACCTCGAAGGTCCCTTCCAACTCTGTTACTGTTACTGAAAGCAGACAAGTCAGAACCCTAAAACTAAAAAAATCACACACACACAGGTTTTCTCAAGATGGATTAAGACTGTTGCGTCTCTCAACTTGTGTTTACGGGCCGATGCCATCCACTCATTGCTGGAGAGAGGAGAATCAGTTACGATCGAGATTCCACCTAGCAAGAAAAAGCTGCTAAACAACGAGAACAAAGATCTATATTTAAAGCCAGGCAGGTCCCGCCCCGCACCACTAACCAGGATTCACTGTAATCTTCCTTCGATGCAGATCACGTTCCACTTCCAGACTCTGAAAGATGATTTTGAGCGGACAGTGATTGATGACAGCCGGAATAGTGGGGTCCCCATGGAGATCATTGTGGGGAAGATGTTCAAAATCGAAGTGTGGGAGACATTGCTGACCTCCATGAGGATCAACGAGGTGGCGGAGTTCTGGTGCGACGCTGTAGTGAGTGTTACTAAGACGATGTTTATGTTAAGCTTAGGTTTGAATGGACATTGCCGCCTCTCCGTTAGGAGATATGGTGATCAATAATATCTTCAGGTAAAAAGGGGGGCATAATGGCTCAGTGGTTAAAGACACTGAGCTTGTCAGCTGGCTGCCATCCCAGGACCATACACCTGTGATGGCAAACCTATGGCACGCGTGCCACAGGTGGCATGTAGAGCCATATTGGTGGGCACACGAGCGTTGCCCTAGCTCAGCTCCAGCATGCATGCGTGTGCGGGCCAGCTGATTTTTGGGCCTTCTGGGCCCACCGGAAGTTGGCAAATGGGCTGTTTCCGGCCTCCGGAGGGCCTCTGGGGAAGGCTGTTTCCGCCCTCTCCAGGCTCCTAGAAAACCTCTGGAGCCTGGGGAGGGCAAAAAAAACGGGCCTACTGGGCCCACCGTGCCATCACATGCCAAAAGCAGGGGGAGCATGTGAGGGGGTCACGCGTGCATGTGGGGGGGCAGGGCGCATAGAATTATGGGTGTGGGCATGTGCACGCGCAACCACCCCTCACTCCCTCAGCTTTTGGCACGCGATAGCAAAAAGATTAGCCATCACTGCCTTATACCTTTAGTATCTTCAGATAGCTTGTAACAGAAAACAGCCGTAGTCACAATTGGTTTCATGTCCTACTGAAGGGTCCCTTGCAGTGGTGAAATCTGAACCAGTTTGCCACTGGTTCATTGGCCACGCATGCACGTTGTGCGCCAAATGCACCCTTTGCGTGGAAAAATAAGACTTCCCTAGTTAAGTAGAACACCGAGGGGGGGAGGAACAGCTGTGCTGTGCAATTTAGTTTTGCTAAGAAAGCAGGATTTCCTGCTTTCTAGCGAATATAATCCGCGCGACACAGCTGATCATCAGAAATACCGGTTCAGCTTTTTTAAACTACCAGTTCAATTGAACCGGTAGCTTTTTAAAAATCATTACCGATTTGCCTGAACTGGGGCGAACCGGTAGCATTTCATCCCTGGTCTCTTGGAGGCATCTGACCCTGGTGAGAATCTTTGGTCTAATCTAGCACAAATTTATTTTAGAATAACAGAGTTGGAAGGGACCTTGGAGGTCTTCTAGTCCAACCCCCTGCTTAGGCAGGAAACCCTACACCACTTCAGACAAATGGTTGTCCAATCTCTTCTTAAAAACTTCCAGTGTTGGAGCATCCACAACTTCTGGAGGCCAGTTGTTCCACTGATGAATTGTTCTAATTGTCAGGAAATTTCTCCTTAGTTCTAAGTTGTTTCTCTCCTTGATGAGTTTCCACCCATTGCTTCTTGTCCTACCTGTAGGTGCTTTGGAGAATAGCTTGACTCCCTCTTCTTTGTGGCAGCCCCTGAGATATTGGAAGACTGCTATCATGTCTCTTCTAGTCTTCCTTTTCCTTAAACTAGACATACCCAGTTCTAGCAACCGTTCTTTATATGCTTTAGCCTCCAGTCCCCTAATTTTATCTGGGGATAATGCAGGGGTTAAATCCAGCAGGTTCTAACAGGTTCTGGAGAACTGGTAGTGGAAATTCTGAGTAGTTCAGAGAACCAGCAAATACTATCTCTGACTGGCCCCAGAGGGGGGTGGGAATGGAGATTTTGCAATATCCTTCTGCCACGCCCACAGAACCGGTAGGGAAAAAAATTTAGATTTCACCCCTGGGATAAAGCCCTGGAGCTGGCATACATATGCAACCCAATTTCTATGTTCTGCACAACCCTTTCTTGTCTGCAATAAACATCTTCTGTAGCCCTGTCATATCTATAAAAGCTGCTGTGACCAGCACGTTTCTGAAAATGAATTGAAACGTCTACAGAGTCCAGATTTATTATAGTGCCCCATGAATTGTCCATCTTTGACCGTTGGTTCTTACATGTTTCATTTTAATTGTTATTGCTTTTTTATGCTGTGACCCACCAAAGGCCTGAATGTAATTGCTGTGGGATGTAATACATATATAATATAAATAATAACTAACATCTGACACTTGAGAGATTAGGTGGCGATCTTCAGAATAAGAATGAATATAGGCAAGAGTTTCCTTGTTATCTAAGCATTGTTGGTGGTGGTAAGGTTGAAGGACAGGGTTGGTGAACCCATGGTCCTCCAGAAGTTGCACCTGCTTTCTTTCAAGCTCCCCACGAATTTCTCTTTTTCTGCAAAAATCTCCTTTTCTACTTATGTCTATAACCTTGTGGCTTGTATTTTACGATTTATATTGTTTTATTTAGTTTCCTAGTATGATTTATGTTGAATTGCTTATTTAGTATCCCACGATTATCACTAAGTGTTGTATCTGATGATTCATGATGAAGGTATTTATGATGACTATGACCATGATTCATCACTTATGTCTTTTATGTACACTGAGAGCTTATGCACCGGAGACGAATTCCTTGTGTGTCCAATCACACTTGGCCAATAAAGAATTCTATTCTATTCTATTCTATTCTATTCTATTCTATTCTATTCTATTCTATTCTATTCTATTCTATTCCATTCCATTCCATTCCATTCCATTCCATTCCATTCCACTCCACTCCACTCCACTCCACTCCATGTTCTATTCTATTCTATTCTATTCTATTCTATTCTATTCTATTCTATTCTATTCTATTCTATTCTACTCTACTCTACTCTATTCTATGTTCTGTTCTATTTGATTTGATTTGATTCAATTTGATTCGATTCCACTCCACTCCATTCCACTCTATGTTCTGTTCTGTTCTGTTCTGTTTCTGTTCTGTTCTATTCTATTCTATTCTATTCTATTCTATTCTATTCTATTCTATTCTATTCTATTCTATTCTATTCTATTCTATTCTATTCTATTCTATTCTATTCTATTCTATTCTATTCTATTCCATTCCATCCTTCCTCCATCCCATCCCATCCCATCCCATCCCATCCCATCCTCTATTTTGTTCTGTTTTGTTCTTTATTCTACTCTACTCTCTATTCTCTATTCTCTCTTCCTCTTCTCTTCTCTCCTCTCGTCTCATCTCGTCTCTTCTCTTCTTTAGAAGAGAGCTTCCCTTTTCTGCTGTTGTCTGATGTTCTTCCTTTATTGTATCTTCTGCTGCTCCACTATCTGTGAGCAATTTGATCTAATTTGTCACTCGTCTTGTGTTTCCAGCATACAGGAATGTATGCTTTGGTCTCCAAGGGCTTAAGGCAAATTGCCGAAGGCAAAGATCCTCTCCACAGACAGAATCACCATTGTGGAATGGGCAACATGTTTGACTATCACAGCACAGGCTATGAAGATCTGGATGAACTACAGAGGACTCCTCAGCCCCTCATCTTCATCATGGAGCTATTCAAAGTGAGTTCACTTCATAAAGGTATTTTGAGGTCTTCTGAGTTAGTGTTTCTCAACTTTGACAACCTTAAGATGTGTGGACCATCTTTCATAATAATCTCTGGAACTGGGCATGGCTAATCTAGTGAAGAGAAGGACCAGGGGAGACATGATAGCAGTCTTCCAATATTTGACGGGCTGCCACAGAGAGGAGGGGGTCAAGCTATTTTCCAAAGAATTTGAAGACTATGCAAGGAATAATGGATGGAATCTGAACAAGGAGAGATTCAACCTGGAAATAAGGAGAATGTGAGATCCCAAGTAATGCATCCATCACAAATTGAACTCTGAGGCATTCCTTTCTCTCAAAGAACATATTTATTTAGATACACCATCTTGGCACTAACTGGTGAAAAGCCAGTACTGAAGTTCCTGGGCTTTTCACCCCAATGTAAGTTTCAGTTTCTCCAGTTCCCAAAACAAACGGTCACATTGTTCAACCAAGATGGGAGCTGGTTGCTTGGCAACTTCTGTCCTCCTCCTCCTCTGGTCAACCAGCCGTTGAAATGTGGTTGACACATCGGCTAGGAATGATGTTTTGACTAAAGGCTCTATTCTCCTTCAGCTTCAAACTGTGTCAAACTGAATTCATGTCAGAATACCCAGTGATACAAACAATCCCACACCCCAATCAAATTCAGGCTTGACAGAGAAATTTTCAGACAGTGGGAACAATCAACCCATGGAACAGAAGTTGCCTTCAGAAGTTGTGGGAGCTTCATCACTGGAAGCTTTCAAGAAGAGACTGGACCACCATCTGTCAGAAATGGTGTAGGGTCTTCTGCTCGGGCCGGGGGTTGGACTAGATGACCCACAAGATCCCTTCCAACTCTGTTAATTTGTTATTTATTTATTTATTTATTTATTTATTTAAATTTGATTTATATGCCACCCTTCTCCAGAGACTCAGGGCGGCTTAAAATGCGTTGAGCAATAGCCTTCATACTTTTGTATATTTATACAAAGTCAGCTTATTGCCCCCACAAACTGGGTCCTCATTTAACCTACCTTAGAAAGGATGGAAGGCTGAGTCAACCTTGAGCCTGGTAAGATTCGAACCTGCAGTAATTGCAGGCAGCTGTGTTAATAACAGGGTGCTTTAAACCACTGTACTACCAAGGCTCTTTTAATCTGTTTAATTAATCTGTTTAATTAATTTTCCCTATGTTGGATTCCATAGCATCTCTTCTTACACCCTTAACTTGATTTTAAGTATCTTCCCTGGTGATTTTCATTTCAAAATTGGACTGGTTTGCTAGTTTAGGTCGTCTGCGTGAGCAGGGGGTTGGACTAGATGACCTGCAAGGTCCCTTCCAACTCTGTTATTGTTATTAAACTTGCTCTGACAAGGAGTGAAGGACACGATGGGTTATAAATTGGATAAGCAGAATTTGTATCCACCCATTGCTTTCCTGGTTTCTCAAGGTGGAGGACCCTTCTTCCTACAGAAGAGACACCTGGGCTATGAGCAATGATGAGAAGTTGGCTGCTGTGCCAAAATTACACACGGAGGGTAACCGACTGGTCTTGTCCAGGAAATTCAAGGAAGCAGCAGAGAAATATCAGGAAGCCGTCATCTGTTTGCGCAATCTCCAGGTTAAGGTGAGAGATGGATGGAATAAGATGTACCACGTTTCTGTTATGGTCCGCCGGTGGCCTGAGGAGCTGGCAGCAGAGTCGGACAATGAGGAGGTTGGGGAGGAACATGGGCCAGTCCTGGAGTCTGGGGAAGGCTCGGACGAGGGCTCTGCATCGGAGGCAGAGATGAGGCCAGGGCCATCTATCCCTAATAAAAACAGTTCAGGTTTAAAATGTACGTTGTTTCCCTATTCTCTTTTCTAGCCAAATGTGTATCTTTGCCCAACATTTTTTTGTTTTAGCACAAGTCCACCACATATGATGAAATGTGCCCGTCTTTTGATGGGCCTACGGTCTGATCGGGGCTCTCCTCATGCCCTTACAGTTGGGTAGTGACTATTTTCTTCTTTTCTGGAACTCTTAACAGGAGAAGCCATGGGAGGAAGAATGGCTGATGCTAGAGAACCTCGTCACACCACTTGTGTTGAATTACTGCCAGTGCCTGCTAGAGTTAGGGGAATACTACGAAGTGTTGGAACACACCACAGAACTTCTACAGAAGCATAAGGGTATGGCAATCACTTTGATCTGCTTTCCTTGGTTTTAGCTTAATGAACTTAACCATTGTTGGGTGTAAACTATGGTTTTTGAGGGTCCTACCTGAGATGTTTTGGACATCCTATTTCCTACCTTAGACTCCTATTTCTTTTATTGGACTGTTGTCTTGGTTATGGCTCTTCCTCCTGTTCCTCAAGTTACTCCTTCTGCACATTATAGTTTGTGGTAGAGGCCATATTTCTGTAAGATTATGTTGTTTGTGTGACAGAATAATTTCTTTACGATTTGGCCTTCTCATCTCAATAACAATGGTCCTTGAACATAAAGGGTGTCATGCTCCCATCAGAGCCTGAATCTGTGGGGGAAGACAAGTTGGAACCTGAGCCGACAGAGATTGAGGGGGTGGCTTTGTTGGCTTCGGAAGAAAATGGGGAAGGGCAGGGCCAATTAGGCCAGGGCCTTTCAGGATTAGAACAATTTGTAGACAGAGAGAAACAGGGGCAGGATGAACCTGAGAGTTAGAGCTCAGGTGAGGAGCAAGGACCACCCCCTCCTGATCCGAGAGCATGGAAAGTGGAGAGAAGGTGAGAACAGTGCAGACTGTGCAGGCTACTCGGGAGAAGAGTGCCCCGCCTATCTTTACAAGGCATACCTGGGGAATGAGACTTAAGGAGACGCTGTGGGGAGGGGCATTTGTCAGGAACAAACACTGAGTTCCTGAAGTGTTAAGTGTTTGAACTTCCCAAGAGTCCTTGCATTCTTTCTGGCTTTCTGGACTAATTACCTGGATCCTTTACTTCCTGAACTCCTTGATTTGCCCTGCTGGATGTATTGCTGTGCAGCCTTGGTGTACATAGAGCTGGGCTGGACTATTTGCAGCCAGAGGCTGCTTGAGGTGTTTGTGAGGGTTTGACATCACTTTACTCTGGAACTGGCCAGAAACGTGGGAACGTTTGGGGAAATTTGGAGCAATAAAGGGACAGTTTGAACTGCCAGCTGGTTGTGTTATCTCTGTGCCGTGTCCCGGGTCATCACAAAGGACTACATTTGAGAAGTGGTTGTGAATGATCACATTTTACAAGATTTGTTTAGGAAAATGTAAAATGTAAACCATCTTTGTTCTTTCCTAGAAAATGTCAAGGCATACTTCAAGCGGGCAAAAGCTCATGCTGCTGTTTGGAATGAGAAGGAAGCCCGAGCAGATTTCTTGAAGGCAGCCCAACTGGATCCTTCGCTGGCGGCCGCAGTGAGAAAAGAGTTAAGGATCCTGGGAGAGAGGATGAGATCGAAACATGTGGAGGATTGCAAGAGATACCGAGATCTGTTCCAGCAGCCCCTCTCAAAAGTGGGGAGTGACGTATCTGAAGAAACTTCTGTGGAACAAAAAGAGCAGGCTGGCAATGGCCTCGCAGCAGAAAAGAAGCAAAACAACCCAGAAGCTATGAAGCACGAGAGAGAATTTGAGGCAATAAAGAATGAAACAAATGAAGGAGAAGTAGCCGAAGAAGAGGAAGGGCTATTGGTAAAGGTTGAGGAAAAAGAGAGAGAAGATTTTGTCTCTCAGAAGAAAACGGAAGAAATGGTGGCTGCAAAAGAAAAAGGAACACAAGACGACCAGAAGGAAAGACAATTATTTCCTGATTCTGAAAACTGTACAGTAGAACATTCTGAGAATCAACAACAGTTAGGACCAGGACTACAGGAGGCGAAAGGAGAGGTTGAAGCTGCAGAGATGAATTCTAAGGCCCGGGATGAAAATGGAGAGATTGATTTTATAACACTGACAGAAAAGCAAGACCTCAGAACAACCCATAGTAACTCTGATGGGAAGGCAGTAATGCCGATGAATGTCACGGAAGAAGAATCCAGAGACGGACACTATGAGGCTGAAATGAGGTTTGGGCTGGATATTTTCACTGGAAAGGGAGAATATGAAGGAAGCTGTGAGAACAGAGAAACCGAAGCTCATAATCTTCATTGGAAAATGGCCGATGTGGATCTTGGATCAGAACATGTCAAGGAAGGTATGAGAATCAAGTGTCTTGAAGAAGAGGATTCTTCTCAAATCCAACAAGAAAAGTCCCAAAGAGGAATGAAGGCATCAAATGATTTGGATTGGGTGGAGGAAGTAGCTTTGAGGAAGGAAAAAGGGGACATTGGTGACAATTCCAAGCCAGAAAAATTATTTGGACACGAAGCAAGTCCAAGTTGTTATGAGGCAAGCCCTGAAGTCAGAGCCACTGAAGAAAATGGGGAAGAAGTAATGGCCTATAGTGCAAATGCAGAGATGAGCATTAGAGAAGCGAGAGATAACCACGAAGAAAAAGTTGGACATGATAAGGAAGGAATCGACATTCTGGGCAGCTCTATAACACAGGAAAAGGTTGAGTGGGACGAGTCAGGGCTGAAATATTTGGAGGCAGAGTTAATTCCCAGCACTGAAGCTAAAAATTCGAAGATAGGACCGCAGGGAAGAACTTTTGACATGGAGCAGGTGGATTCGCAAGTCACGTGGGAAGAGCCTGAAAAAAGAGGAGGAACTGAGCAAATCTGAGGGGGAAGGACCTCATCGGGGATGATTTCAGATGTCAGGAATGGAAGACGGCGGTTAGGATGATGCATCATTTACCATGCATTGCGCGGAAGACACAAAGACAAGCGTTTACTCAGGAGAGATGGCTGGGTTGGAAGCAGCAGAGCCAGTGGCATGTTTCTATCCCAGGTCAGACTGCCTTGATGCAAGAAAAAACTGGTTTCCAAGAAGGAAAATAATCTGAACATGACAGTAGGAGAGCGCCTGTTGACTAGCTTACCTTTAGGAACAGGGCCAACGTGACGATTCCCATCCCCTTTGCTGAAGGAGCCACCTCCCCGTCTTGAGCAATGACATCCCAATGCTAAGATCTCCTGATCCCCATAAGTCACTTAGCAGTTAATCAGCCAATCAGAATAGAGCTGGAAGGGACCTTGGAGGTCTTCTAGTCCAACCCCCTGTTCAAGCAGGAGATCCTATACCATTTCAGACAGGTGGCTGTCCAGTTTTTTCTTAAAAACTTCCAGTGATGGAGCACCCACAACTCCTGAAGGCAACTTCTGTTCCACTGGTTAATTGTCCTCACCGTTAGGAAGTTTCTCCTTAATTCCAAGTTACTTCTCTCCTTGATCAGTTTCCATTCATTGTTTCTTGTCTTGCCTTCTGGTGCTTTGGAAAATAAGTTGACCCCAACTTCAGTGTGGCAACCCCTCAAATACTGGAATACTGCTATCATGTCACCCCCGGTTCTTCTTTTTCTAGACTGGCCGTACCCAATTCCTGCAACCGTTCTTCATATGATTTGTCTCCAGGCCTTTAATCCTATTAGTTGCTCTTGTGTGCACTTTTTCCAAAGTCTCAACATCTTTTTTTTGTAATGTGGTGACCAAAACTGGATGCAGGATTCCAGGGGTGGCCTTACAAAGGATTTACAAAGCGGAACTCTTAGTTCTTTCTTCTCGATTTCATTACATCTAAACCCAAGAGAACGTATCCTGACTCCTTGCTGGCCTTTCCTGATCCGGCAGTGTTTTTGCGAAATTAAATATTGAGTGACCTTTTAACGTCGTAAATCTGCTGGTGTTTTCCATTAGTAAAGATGAAATAGTGATCGCTAACACTCAATAAACTTTAAAATAAAAAGTGAGCAATGTATGTTGGATTCAGTTGGGCTACTCTTGACCTTTGAGCAATATAACTGCCCAAAATACTAAGTGCAAGCTAGGGTGGAAAAAAAAAAAAGCAGATTGGTTTAATCACATTTTCGTCAGATTAAATGAATTATTTGGACAGGTTTCAATTTATTTCGTGTTCTGCCCCAGCAAAATAACCTGTCGAGGTCTCCTGGGTTGACATCTAAAACCTTTCAGAGCCTTTGCTTTAAAATGCAATAATATCTGGATGTTTGAATTCTACCCCCGGCTTGAGAACAAAATAAATTAAAGTGTTTCAGGCAACGGTTAGTAAGGGAATAATTCACTGACTCTTACCCTCCAAGCTTCTTATGAAGTTCTATAAGCGTAAAGTGGAAGAAACTTCTTTTCTGATGTTATGGGAAGAGAAAGATAGAGATTTGATATTCCCAGATCCATTTAATGTTAAGTACAGGTAGTCCTCGATTTACGACCATTTTATTTTTTGGCTAAGAGAGACCTTTGTTAAGTGAGTTTTAAGCCTCATTTTATGACCTTTCTTGTCAGAGTCGTTAAATGAACCACTGCCCTTGTTAAATTAGTAACACGGTTGTTAAATGAATCCGGCTTCCCCGTTGACTTTGTTTCTCAGAAGGCCGTAAAAGGGGATTGTACGACCCCGGGACACGGCAACTGTCATAATTGTGAGTCCGTTGCCAAGCGTCTGAATTCTGATCACGTGACCATGGGGATGCTGCAGTGGTCGTTAAGTGTGAAAAACGATCATACGCCAGGTTTTTTTCCAGTGCTGTTGTAATTTCGGTCACTAAATGAACCGTTGCAAGTCAAGGAATACCTGTAATACATTTTCATGTCATGAAGGAAGATGTAACCACAGAACTTGACACTGTTTGTCTAAGGCAAACAATAATCCAGTGGTGGGATTCAGCCAGTTCGCACCTATTTGGGAGAACCGGATGTTAACTTTCTAAGCAGTTCGGAGAACCGGCTGTTGGAATAAGAAATCTTATTCTACTTTACAGGGCTAATCCTGTAAGGAAGGCAGGAAGGAAACATTCTGGTGCTATTTCTAGCCTAATCTTTATTGTCCCGCTTACAGAAACTGCCTCTCCGGTTAACCCTTATTACATTGTAACAGCTAAAATGAAGCACCCATCGACGTGAGTGACATTGAGCTGGCCACGCCCACACGGTCACATGACCACCAAGCCATGCCTACCCAGTTGCTCATTAGGGCAGAAAACCGGTTGTTAAATTATTTGAATCCTACCACTGCAATAATCCCAACCCAATCAAGAAAGGGACCAAACAGAACAACGGAAATACAAATTTATTGTCATTGTTTTCCAGAACAGAAGAAATCAAGAAAGATTTGAGCGAAGAAAACATCATCACCTGTCCAGATTAGTTTAGCTCCTGATCTTTAGAGAAAGAAACCCTCCTCCTGTATTTGGCTCCCACGTTCACTTGCTTTTAACCCAGAATTTCCTCCCCTCATTCTGTCGCCAGACAATCTGAATATATATTCTTGGCTGGTTCTCTTCTGTGGATGGACCACAAAAGATGTCCCGGAAGATCAAAGGAGAAGAATTTTGCTAGCCATCTCTTTTGAGATGAGATGTTGCACCGCCAGTGTTGGCAATGGCCAGATGCAGTGGTGGGATTCAGCCGGTCCAGACAAACCGGTAGTTCCGGTGATCAGTTGGCCCCGCTCACCCGCCCCTGCCCTATTCTATCCTATATTTCCGTGTTTTTCAGCTCAGCTGATTTGCACGGCACAGATTCCCGCCTCTCAGCTGTTTTACTCACTAGCGCTGCAATAGAAGGTAAGGTTTTGCGATTAAAACGGGCAGTTTTTCAACGCTGTCCGCACACGCAAATCACACGCTCACCGTACACGCTAACCGGTTGAATCCCACCACTGGCCAGATGTCATAGAAGGGATCAAGCCTATCAATACCAACAGTTGTTACATCCTTCACTGTTGGGTCCTTGGTGCTCTTTGAGCTGGGTTTTCTTGCAGACGTTTAATTACCCAACTAGGTAACATCATCAGTGCTAGGACAGATTGGGATTTGCTCTCAAATTTATATTCTAGTGGCTTGCCCTGTCAGCGTTGGTAGGAGTGATCTTGGTTTTGTTTACTGTTTGACTGCTGTTTACTGTTTGCCTGAGTTGGTAGTCACTTGACTGAGGTATTGTTTATTGCTTGATCGCTAGTCTAGTATTAATCTTGGGGTCAACCAGGAACATTCTCACCAACACTGACAGGACCCTGCAAGCCAACTTCTGCTTCCTAATCTTAGTAACTCCAAGAAGCATCTTGTTGTGACCCAGGCCCAAGTAGGTATTATCAGACACAATCAGTTCAAAACAAACAGACTTTATTAGAACAGCTGAGAATTAACTCATTCTCAGCGTAGTCCAAACTAATTCAAAACAAATTCTTCATAACACCATTCTTCAGCCTTATCACCAACCTTGGTCTAATTAGGCAACCTGCCAAAGGCTTTTCTTGGCAAAAGTTCAGAAGCAGAAGATGCCGACAAGAAATAAATGCAGCAAGGCAAGAAACAAATCTATCAACGTTGTTTTCCGACAAAGAGCCCAAGAGCCATTGCTGGTCTTTTAAACCTTATGGGAGGGGCCAGTCATCTCTTGGCCTTACTCCCGAGTCGTCCTTTTTGCTTTAGCTGCTCTTGCCTTCTGGCAGCTCTTCTCATGCATGCACTAGGAACAGGCTCCTCCTGTTCCTCTGTCTCTCTGCTGTCTGACTCCGGAGGCTCCGGAGTCCACACATCACTCCCCGATGGCCCTGGCCCCATCTCTGCCTCCGACGCAGAGCCCCCATCCGGGCCTTCCCCAGTCTCCAGGACTGGCCCATGTTCTTCCTCAACCTCCTCACTGTCTGACTCCGCTGCCAGCTCCGCAGGCTGCAGGCAGACCACAACGCATCTAGAGAAGGAATCTAACCCGGTTTCAAACATATCAAACTGAAACACTCTATTTAGATTGGCACGAAACGAGTACCAGGAAAACAAAAATCTCTTGCGGAGTTGCATTCCCCAGGTTTCCCTGGAGAAAAAAACATCAAAAATAGAAAGGGCTGGCCAGCTGTAGGAGTAGAACAGCGGGATCTGCAGCCGAATGCAACCCAAAGGCATTAATTCCAAGAGGCTGGTTCAACATCTGTTGTTAGACCTCCCGTTCAACCTGATTTCCTGCAGAGAGTCTGCAAACAGGATTCCAGGGGTGGTCTTACAAAGGATTTACAGCTGGCCAGCAACCATCACAGACAGTCTTTAAATATTTACTGCATGGAACCTACCCAAATATCCAAAATGCCGCAATCTCTTCCCCGCCCCCCACTTTATCGTGTAACCTTACGTGCTATAACATCCTTCCCGGTTTACCCTACTTTCAACATCTGTAGCCTTCCTGACAATTTACAATGTTAGAATGAAGAACCATTCTGGGCATTATCACCAACTGAAAAGTAAAACCTCCGAGGTGGACCTTCTACTGCTACAGCAGGAACTTTTAACAAACGAGAGGCCAACACGGTGTAACTTTCTAAGAGAGGTTTCCAAAAAGCACGCCTCCTTTTTTGAACAGATATGTTCTTCAGTCCTTGGGGCTCTCTGAAATTGTTTTCTTGAAGATGTTTCGTTACCCAAACTAAGTTACATCATCTGTGCCCTGACGATCGGTGCACTGAGGATGTTACCCAGCTGGGTAATGAAACGTCTACAAGGAAACCAGGAAGTTCAGAGAGAATCATTGTTCTGACCTAAACTTCCCCAGCAGCACGAAGCTAAGTCCTCGTCTCGATAAACCCCTTTTATTTAATTTACAGTGAATTCCTCTCCAGCAAAGTCTTTCCTCTCCCACAGTCTTTCAAGATAGTTCACAATGACCGACCTTTCTTAGGCTTGGAGAGTGGCCAGGCCGATATCTTTCAGACGCTGCAATACTTGGCAAGAATGCAGGAATGAACTAATTGTCTCCTGCAAACTCCAGTCCCCTTTCGCTCCTCTTTTATTCCCTCTGGGAGGGGCCCTTCATCGTCCACCTGGGGCCTTACTCCTAAGTCGACCCCTGTTCTTTAGCTGTTCCCTTCGTCTGGCAACTCTGCGCATGCGCACACTGGGAAGAGGCTCCAGCTGTTCGTCTGCCTCACTGATGTCTGATTCCGAAGGTAGCTGATAACTGGCATATGGCCTTTGCCTCAACTCTGCCTCCGACGCAGAGCCCTCGTCAGAGCCTTCCCCAGACTCCAGGACTGGCCCATGTTCCTCCCCAATCTCCTTACTGTCTGAATCTGCTTCCAGCTCCGCTGGCTGCTGGCAGGCTACAACGATCATGGACTCCACCTTTCAACCCTGAGCTATCAATATTCTCCTTTATTGGCTTTTCAGTCCATACTCTGCAAGGGTAAAATTCCATGTACGAGGTCTTGCTCCAAACGCTACACATTAAATTCGACACTACGCAAACCATCCAACATACCTGACTAAAAACCCAAGTGATGTTTGCTTTAGGACAAATTGTAGTCCATAATCTCCAACTAACCCATATTGAGGCCTTTTAATTCAGGGTTGTAAATACACCCTTCCTAACGACTAGAATGATATTCCAACAATCATTGTTGGCACCATTGGTACAGAACCGAAGAAGTTTCTTGGATGAGAAGCGAAACGTCTTCAAGAAAAACAAAGAAAGTGCAGTTGTCTTTTGAAAAAACTCCTTTGGGACAACCGTAACCTGGATGGCTGAGAATCTCCATAGATGCTGCTCTTCACTGGTACGCATGTGTCAATACTGTGACAAAATGCACACTGAATGCATGTGAGTGATGTGGATGCATGCTTTTCACACCCACTGAAACTAACACATGATGCAACCACAGGGAGCAGACTTGTCTGGACCGTAATTTCTACTTCCCTTCTGAATTTTGCTTTTCATACAGATACTTCTGTCCATTTGCTTTTTTAAAAAATCCCATAAATACAATGGAATCTGTATCACCCATCTATGCTTATGTCCCTGTGGGAGAAATTCAGGATATTTCCTCCTTGTGTTCTTATACACCAATGTACATTTATTACAAATCGGTGGAAATTGAAAATATCCCAGATGATTCCAACAAGGAGCATGTTGGCTAAAACGTACACTCCAGCAGCGGTAAGCGTACATAATTTATCCGGTGTGTTCGTATGTTTTCTTGCTCACGTCTTCTTTGGACCAACAGCAATTTCCCGTGAAATAAAATATGCGAAGGATGGTTTCCCAGAAGACAAAACTGTCCGTTCAGGGTTGTTTTAAAGCTTAGAAGAGCTCCTTTCTAGAAAATCTATTTGGAATTTCTGGAGTCCTTGGTGCTCTCAGAGCTTGGCTGTTTGATTGCAAATGTTTCATTACCCGACCAGATAACATCAAGACACATAGAGATGAACCATATTTATATATCGTTCAAAGGAGACAATAACACAGTTAAGAAGGAAACAAATAGACCAAAACAAGCCCTCTCCAGCAACCAACATCCAGATAAGCAGGGATTACCACCAGACAAACAAGAAGGAAAGAAACTACCAAGGAGAAACCACAACCCCACCAAAACTGGAAGGGCAATCTACCAGTGGTGGGTTGCCCCCGGTTCAGACCAGTTCTATAGAACCGGTAGTAAAACTGGTGGGAAGCTCCACCCACTGACCCCGACGTCATCAGGAAGCTTCTGCGCGAACGCAAAAGCGTGCATGCAGCCCTGTTGCAAACCGGTAGTAAGCATAAGTAGAACCCACCCCTGCAATCTACTATATATAAACAGGGAGCAAACTCCATTCCCTTCTAGCACTGATGATGTTATCTAGTTGGGTTATAAGACATCTGCAAGCAAACAATCAAGCTCAGAAAGCACCAAGGACTCCGCAGTACAAACCCAAATTATTGTTATTCTCTAACTATTGGTAGCACAAGACTCTGGGTAGCATTTTAATCAATTATGCTTTCACTCTATGGTCTACTCCTTACTGAAGGTGAAGAAACTTCTTGGAGGAGAAGCGAAATGTCTTCCAAGAAAAACCAGAAAGTCCAGTTGCCTCTTGGGGAAAAAAAAGCATTGTTAGGACAATCAGATGGATGAAAGAAAACCAGGCAAACCAACCCTCCCTGCTCCAAAGTCATTCCGGCGGAGATCAATCCAGTGCCAAAAGACAACCAAACCAAAATTCAGCAACAGCAGCAATTGAAACAGAGCGAAAGAGCCCAGCCAAAATAAACATACAACCAAGTATTAGAATTTAATGCGTGATGGGAGTCCATAACAGCACTTAAATACAATATAGACAACATTGTATTTATGCTTGTGTGGTACACACACCAATAAAACTATAAGGCTTTTTTGTTATAAAGCTTATCAGTCATAAGGCTGCTGTTGCTGATGCTAAAATTATGCCTTTCCGAAATCTGTTCTTTCTCTTCGAATTCTGTGAGATTTCTCCCGATTTCTTCCATCATTTCCACTGAGCGTGTCAGGCATGGAAACAACGCAGTCATTTCACAAATATCCTAATCTCGACGAGAAACGTAATTTTCTTCTCGTGTTCTTGAATCGTCTCTTGGTTTGAAATATCTGTCAATCAGTTCTTACGAAAGTAGCTTCAAGGCTTTGCTAGCTTAAACCACTACTTGATCATTGGCTTAAGCCAAATCCTCAGTGGGTCATCTCAACTCCAAAGTTGACCTCACAAAGGGCAACAATTCACAGACTGTAAAAGAGAACACGCCGGTTTTTTTTTGTTGGGAGTTTTGTTTTGCTGGGAAAGATTTGTCCCCTCGCTTTCACATGGGCCCTTTCACAGTTCCTCGAACCCGGGTCCTCTTTTGGGCACCAGGTTTTTTGACTCTGTGTCGCTGATCCTAGATCACTCCTCCGGCAAGTCCCCTGAAGTCTCTAAGCAGAGGTCTTGCACAGATCCTGAATAACTCTCCTTTGAGGATGCGGGTGAAACCCACCACATGAGGGAAAGACAGAAGTGAAGAGAAAGGAGAATAGCAGTTGACAAGAACTGGTTAGAAAAAGCCTCTAGCCTTCGGGAGGTGTTAGATTAGGGAGGTTGGACCTGGAAGAGAAAATGAAACAGAGTCATAGCCAATGATGTTCATATAGCTTTTAGGCCAGGGCTATTTTTGTTAGGCGTAATACCAGAAAAATACGATAAAAGGCAATGTATAATTGATATTGCACGTTTTAAACAGCAGCAAGAATTGTATTTGCACAGCATTGGAAAAGCAAGGAAACACCTACGGGAGAAAGCATAATTTAAAAAAATATTGGACTGTGCAGAAATAGACAGATTAACACAGAGGATAAAAGAAAAAGAAGACACGGAATATTTTCGAACTTGGGATCTGTTTTATCAATGGTTGGACAACAGGGGTAGAAATTAGAAACTTAAGAAATATCACTGTGTAAACGAACTGTCCCAGACAGTACGCTGTGTTTGGAAACTCAAACAGTATTTGCTGTGTGAGCAAGAAAGAGACAGGAAGGAGGCTGGGTGTGGTTTAGCTCAACTGTTCAGTAGTAAATAAAGCTGCTTGCTACTGTGAAAGTAAAACTGAAAGTGAAACTCCTCTCCTCTGCTTGTGTTTTGCATTTGGAATAGATTTCTTTTGAGGTGGAGAGGGGGAGTAGAACTCATTAGCATCAGAGGGCTGTTTGGAAAGTGAAACAGTATTTGCTGTGTGAGCAAGAAGGAGACAGGAAGGAGGCTGGGCGTGGCTTAGCTCAAGTGTTTTTGTTATAAAGTCTTTGTTTTGTCTGTATTAAAGCTGCTTCCTGCTGTGAAAGTAAAACTGAAACTGAAACTCCTCTGCTTGTGTTTTGCAGTTGGAACAGATTTCTTTTCAGGTGGAGAGGGGGAGTAGAACTCCTTAGCATCAGAGCGTGTTAATAATAATATAGGAAATACTAATGCTCTGATGGTCATTTCGAAAAATCCTTTCTTAATAAGCACCTAGAAACCAAGAGGAACATACGTGGCAAATTTCAAATTTGTAGGCTTTACGGTTCTGGAGATTTCGTGATTAATGCATGAGTGATTTTTGCTTTGATATATATATATATATTTATTATATATATATAAATAAAAAGAACTGGTTAGATAAAACCTCTAGCCTTCAGGAGGTGTTAGATTAGGGAGGTTGGACCTGAAAGAGAAACGAAATCAAGTCCTATCCAATGATGTTCATGATAGTGCCCACTGGTTTATTATTAAAAATACCGTTTGGGAAGCAGCAATGTTCAATTTCTAGGGACCGATTGTGTCTTTTCAAGCAGCCACAGCTTGTTTTCAACTCCCACAGAAGCTTGAAAAAGAGCAGACTGGTTTCACGAAGGGCAGAGATACTATGTTGGCGGGAGATCCAAAGCGTTTGGGGCCAATCATTTCTGAAGTCCGTACAGATTTGAGTTATTTTGATGAGGGTCATGTCCTTTGTCAGGAATTTATGGAATGTCTGCAACAAAATGGCGTTCAAAGATTTTTTTTACATCTTATATAGGGATGGATGTATCTACACCCTACGCTGGTTTTTTAGAAAGGAATGAGCAGCTTCACAAGGAGGACGGATACATCTCGGTGCAAGACATCACCGCTGAGCAAAAGCAGGTTTAATATTCACAAGCTTGGCAAAGCAATTAGCAAATAGTTAGAGACTGGGAATTGCAGGCGCCAATCAGAAACCCATGAGGCGGAAGCAATTGCTAAGATGGTGGCTTATACCAGCAGCTGCCAATTCTAAGTCTCTAGGAGAACTTGAGGGACTTCTTCAACAAAGCCAAGGGCTTAGATCTTTGTCCTGTTAGGAGAAAAGGAGATTGTAACTTAGGGCACATCTAAAGGCTGAAGTTTGGCTTACTTGCTTTGGATTCCTGCAGGGAATCAAAAGTCCATTGCTGATGGAATGGGACATACCTAGCAATTTTGCACATCTTCTGTCCCCAGCCATAAATTATTCTTCTCTAGCTAAAATGTTGACATGCGAGGCAGACATGGCTTTCAGCAGGTTCTGACCAGTTCTGGAGAACCGGTAGCGGAAATTTTGAGTAGTTCAGAGAACCGGTAGTAAAAATTCTGACTGGCCCATCTATTCTCTGCCTCCCAAGTCCTAGCTAATCGGGAGGAAATGGGGATTTTACAATATCCTTCCCCTGCCACGTCCACCAAGCCACACCCATAGAACCGGTATTAAAAAAAATTGAAACCCACCACTGATGTGAGGGTCTGGAGGAGGTCTCACCAAGGAGCCGTAGTGGTGCAGTGGTTAGAATGTAGGATTGCAGGCTAACTCTGCTGACTATCAGCAGTTCGATCCTAACCGGCTCAAGGTTGACTCAGCATTCCATCCTTCTGAGGTTGGTAAAATAAGGATCCAGATTATTGGGGGCAATATGCTGACTCTGTAAACCTCTCAGAGAGTGCTGTAAAGCATTATGGAGAGGTATAGAAGTCTAAGTACTATTGTTTTGAGGTACTTCTGTTCAGAGTCCAGGCAATGGCTAAGCCCTTTGTACCTTCTTCCATTCTCCTTCTCTTCATGGATTTTTGCCCAACCAAAAGCTTATGATAGCTCAGCTTTCTCTAAACCAGGGGTCTCCAACCTTGGCAGCTATGCTGGCTGAGGTATTCTGGGAGTTGAAGTCCCCAAGTCTTAAAGTTGCCAAGGTTGGAGACCCTTCCTGTAAACCAATATCATCCAACAAAGTGGCACTGCAGCTGGGATTTCCAGCCAGAAGTCTAATCTTTCTTAGGGACAACTGACTGGGGAATACATCCACACAAAATAAGCGTGTGAAAGTTGTTTTATGCCTTTCCGCATGACCTGCCAGCATGATCTATTTTTTATGATGATGCATCTGGGAGGCAGACGTCCCAGGGAAGTTCAACTGAGATAATATGGGTCATCAGAAAATTCCTCCACCTTAACATACTCTGAGACTGTTCATGGCACTCTACCTCCGTTATTGGGGAAAGCATTCCGTAATTTCTCCATGATATCTTCTAGACACAGACTGACATCTTGGGACTTTGCGTCTACTTCATCTGTGAGAAAGGAGAAGAAAAGTGGTCATGCCAACACTGCAGAAGAGACCAGGAAAACATCCAAGACGTCTCTATATACCTCCCGAATACTCCTGGGGCAATATAAGTCAGCCTACTCCATTTAGCAAAAGGGATGCGGTGGCTCAGCAGCTAAGACGCTGAGCTTGTCGATCGAAAGGTCGGCAGTCAGAAGTTCGAATCCCTAGTGCCATGTATAACGGGGTGAGCTCCCGTTACTTGTCCCAGCTTCTGCCAACCTAGCAGTTCGAAAGCACATAAAAAATGCAAGTAGAAAAATAGGGACCACATTTGGTGGGAAGGTAACAGCGTTCCATGCGCCTTCAGCATTTAGTCATGCCGGCCACATGACCACAGAGGCGTCTTCGGACAGCGCTGGCTCTTCGGCTTTGAAGAGCAGAGCGGAGATGAGCACCGCCCCCTAAAGTCGGGAACAACTAGCACATATGTGCGAGGGGAACCTTTACCTTTACCTTACTCCACCTAGCATTGCAAAGACCCCGGTCCTAACTCTTATCAACAACTGTATTGTTTTCTTGGCTGCTACTTTAAGTTTTTTAAGTTTTGCATTTACCGGTGCTTTGGTAAATTTATCATGTAATTTTTTCCCCTTGCTCTTGTTCTCTGCCCAGACACTAATTGAGAAAGGTGACTTTAAAACATCGAGTCAGTGTTCCTCAACCACGGCAACTTGAAGAGGTGTGGACTTCAACAGGTGCTCCAAGAGGCCCATTTTTAGTGAGTCACCAAGCATCAAAATGAGGAACTCTGAGGGAAAATACTTTACTGAGAAGAAGGAGGAGCTTCACAGCATAACAGAACCCACCTGCCATTTCTGTGTTTGGAGTGCTCGCATCTTTTTCCCTAGGCTGACTCTCTTCTGATGGTTGAGGAGAAGAAGCCACGGTGGAAGAAGTGGCCGAGCCTTCTTCTTTGGAATTGGCTGGTGGCTGGGGAAGATGGCAAAGAAAATTAACAAAGGCCTGCAGCAGCTTTTTGAAATTAAGCTACGAGCTCTCTGTGAGCTCTCGGGTTGCGAATCGTGTGCGCGAATCTCAGCACAAGAAATGTTCTATAAAAGAGAAACAGCACATAGATAGAAATGATTGCTGTAACATGTCAAGACCTGTTAATGCAGGGGGAGACAGAAATTAAGATGAAGTGAAGATAGGACTGTAAAAAAAAAAAGTGATTTTGTTCACTTTTTCTGCTTGTGAAGTATCCGGATTTGTATCCAGTATCCGGAAATGGGAACAAGCAGAATGGGAACAATTTGGTGAGGTTCGCTCAAGGTGGAGACCAGTGGTGAAATGTAAAATATGTTACTACCGGTTCTGTGGGCGTGGCTTGGTGGGTGGGTGGGGGTAATGTGACTGGATGGGCGTGGCCAACTTTTTTTTTAATTTTAATTTTTAAAAGCATTTTTTCAGTCGAAGAAAAGTTGCTTTTAAAAGTATAAAAAATGATGATTGTAAGGCTCAGCTGGGCATGGGGGGTGGGCAGGGATTTTTGCTACCGGTTCTCCGAACCACCCACCGTCATTGCTACCGGATTGGGCGATCCGGTCCGAACCGGGAACATTTCACCCCTAGTGGAGACCATCCAACTGCATCGACTTCAAAATACTCAGCCATGGCTGAGAGAAAACTGGGCTGGAGAAGGTTGAATTGGGCCTTGATCTTATCTAGGCAGGTTCTGAATTAATGGATAAAGATGCAGGAATGCATGTTTCAGGTAAACAACAGTCCCAACGTCTCAGCAGTAAGACGGTGGATCAGGCTGAGTGAGAAGTTGTGGATTCTGTTTTCCTGGCAATACATAAGCAATGAGTGGAAAGTTTTGGCCAATGACAATAAAGCTGCAGTCGAAATGAAGGTCTTCATATGGATTGAATGTCGGTCTAAATCAGCGGTAGGCTTCACATTTTCTTACCACTGGTTCCTCCCATGCGCCGTCCACACCAGTGGTGGGTTGTTACTGGTTCTCCCCGGTTCTTACGAACCAGTCATGGAAATTTTGAGTAGTTCGGAGAACTAGTAAATACCACCTCTGCCTGGCCCCGCCCCCAATCTATTCGCTGCCTCCCGAGTCCCAGCTGATCGGCTAGAAAGAAAAAATCAGGGCTCACTTGACAAAGAAGAGAGAGAGAAAAACAAGACACTGTAGCTTTAAATTGAGAAGCCAAGAAGCCTCCCAACTGACCAGCTAGAACTCAGTGGTGGTATATTGGCAATTGAGGCCAAGCTGCCTGAAAGCGGTTTCTGATGCTCTCGGTGGTGGTAGAGTGGCAAAAAATTGTTTAAACTCTTGCTGTGGCGCTTCAAAGGGCCGCCCTACAGCTGATCAGTGGTAAAAGGCAGTGTGATGGTAGACCGGTATGCTCCAAAAACAAATGGGTAGACCGGTATGCTCCAAAAACAAATGGGTAGACCGGAATGCTCCAAAAACAAATGGGTAGACCAGTATACTCCAAAAACACATAGGTAGACCAGAACGCTCCAAAAACAAATGGGCAGACTGGTACAGTTCTGCAGGCAGTTAAAAGCCTGGTAGACCAGTACCTCTGCTAAATCCTAAAGAATTGTTTGTCACATGACCATCAAATCATGCCCACAAAATAAGCCACACCCACAGAACCGGTAGTAAAAAATTTTAGAACCCACCCCTGGTCCATGCATGTGCTTTGCTCACATGCATGCCTTCCGCACATGCACCCAGCCTCAAAAACGAGCCTAAATAGGATGGCATAGAACCGGGGTGGGCCCACCTGCGATTTCCACTATTGGTTCGTGTGAACTGGTCCGAACCGGCTGAATACCACCTCTGGTCGAAATGAGATTCAAGGTAACTCAGAACAGATCATTTGGCTATTTTCCATTTCTTCCTACCCACAAACCCATCCCCTTCGACAGAGTAAATTACTGGGGTGCAGTTACCTGAAGAAGCAGCTCCCTCAGGCGCTGCAGCTGAGATTCCAGCTGCTTGTTGTGGTCCTCCAAGATTTGCATCCGGGTCTCCAGGCGGCTCTTGTGCTGTCGAAGAATGCGGGCTTCGGCCAAGAGCTCTTCACTGGGTGGATCCTGGGCCGTTTCAGGAGCTCCTTGGGCAGACTCGGCTGCCTCTTCGTGCTTCCACTTCAGACGTCTCAGCTCTCCCTGAAGGACCCTGTGGAAAGGAAACCTGTTAGAGCAACCAGCTCTCAATCGCTAAACTAGATCTAGTTTATCCCACAGCTTCTAAACTAGATAAGAGCCTGAAGATGACAGGGTTGTGAGCCTGTCAAAACGTTGCTATAAGAAAAACTTTTAAGGTACTGGGAGGATTTTAGCTAAGGTTTTAAGAGTGCTCTGTAAGGATTTTTAGAAGATTTTAAGCTAGGATTTTAACCAGCAATTTGCCTGGATTTTAGAAGATCAGCACCATCTTACCTGTTTTCATCCTCCAGGTGGGCCAAAATTCTTTCCAGTTCTCCTTTATCATCTGTCCTGGTGCCATTCTGAGCTTCTTGGCTGGAGATAGGTTCTCCGTCGGGGACAGGGCTGGAATGGCGCAAAAGATATTGATCTTCATCCCTGTTGTGAATAGAGCTATGATGAGGTTGAGGTAGTGGAGAGAAGAGCAACCGGGTTGTGAGAAAGGAAGGATGTGAATCGATGGAGAAGAGATGGAGATGCGAAAGGGACCAAAGCTTCCAAGAGAAGAGACAGGTGGGAACGTCTAAATTCTCATGCGTTTGCCAGGGTCTATCAACCCCAACTGCCAGCCTAGCAGTTCGAAAGCACGTAAAAAAATGCAAGTAGAAAAATAGGAACCACTTTAGTGGGAAGGTAACAACTTTCCGTGCGCCTTTGGCATTGAGTCATGCCGGCCACATGACCACGGAGACGTCTTCAGACAGCGCTGGCTCTTCGGCTTAGAAATGGAGATGAGCAGCGCCCCCTAGACCCGGAAACGACTAGCACGCATCTGCGGGGGAACCTTTATCTTTACCTATCAACCCCAGAAGGACCATAAAAAGGTAAAGGTTACCCTCGCACATACGTGCTAGTCGTTCCCGACTCTAGGGGGTGGTGCTCATCTCCATTTCAAAGCCGAAGAGCCAGCGCTGTCCGAAGACATGTCCGTGGTCATGTGGCCAGCATGACTCAACGCCAAAGGCACACGGAAAGTTGTTACCTTCCCACTAAAGTGGTCCCTATTTTTCTTGCATTTTTTTACATGCTTTCGAACTGCTAGGTCGGCAGAAGCTGAGACAAGTAACGGGAGCTCAGCCCGTTAAGTGGCACTAGGGAACTGCTGAACTGCCAACCTTTCGATTGACAAGCTCAGCATCTTAGCCACTGAGCCACCATGTTCCTATAGTAGGACCATATCTGCCTCATGTTTCCCTTTAAAGGGTTTCCTCCACTGATCAGCCATTTCAGGAAGAAGTAGCACCAGCAGGCTACATTGTCCTGGGGGCAATTTTGGGAAGTGGACAGGGCAATCTGATGCTCTCCATGACCAACTGGACACCTGGCAGAGGGAGGTGGCCCACCAGAGGATGTTCAGCCTAAAGTCCTCTCTAACTCAGAAGTGACCCTATGAATAGTGATGGTTTATTTTTGACCCCACATTAGACCAGCCAGATCAAATCTAACCAGATGCATGCGAACTAGGTTCCTCTGCCCGGTATCTTCTGGCCTCCTCATTTTCCATCATTGCAAGATGATTTGGCTTGATGGGCTAGATTAGATCTGCGGGCTGAGATGGGTCCAGGTTGACAAAGAATTGATATGCAAAATAAGAGAAGAAAAAAAAAGAGGGGGGAAGGTGAGAAGTTGCAACTCACAAGCTATCATCTGGCGAAAGGTTGTCGTTGTAAAAGGAAGAAGTCTGGCTTTCCATCTCTGCAAGCCTACAAGAGAAGGAAAGCAGAGTCAATAAATGATGATTTCCCCTTTGTCATCTAAGGTTTGCATCCTGACGTTTTTGTGATGTTTATTAATATGGATTTTAAGACAGACACAGGCTTCAGAGGATAATTAGAACTGCAGAAAAAACGATGGCTACCATCCTGCCTTCCATTGAGGACCTGTATACTGCACGAGTCAAAAAGAGGGCTGTGAAAATATTTACAGACCCCTCGCATCCTGGACATAAACTGTTTCAACTTTTACCCTCAAAACGACGCTATAGGGCACTGCACACCAGAACAACTAGACACAAGAACATTTTTTCCCCAAACACCATCACTCTGCTAAACAGATAATTCCCTCAACAGTCAAACTATTCACTAAATCTACATTATTATTAATCTTCTCATCGTTCCTGTCACCCATCTCCTCCCACTTATGACTATGACTGAACTTGTTGCTGTATCCTTACAATTTAAATTGATTGTTTCCTAGTATGATTCAATTGCTTATTTGTACCCTATGACTCTTCTCTTCTTTGGGGCAGCCCCTGAGACATTGGAACACTGCTATCCTGTCACTCCTAGTTCTTCTTTTCATTAAACTAGACATACCCAGTTCCTGCAACTGTTCTTCATATGTTTTAGCCTCCAGTCCCCTAATCATCTTTGTGGCTCTTCTCTGCACTCTTTCTAGAGCTATCAGATGGTTGGCCTTGGGCAGCAAGGTGCCTTAGACTTTCCTTGCCCAATCCTGGTTCCTTCCTTGAGAGCTTCCAAATCTCACCTGCTAGCAAAATGCTCAATCCGAGAATGGGTGTCAGCATGTGGTAACATCGGAGAAGAGGCTGGCCTGGAAGAAAAAAGAAAAGAAGCATAAAATTTTAAAAAGCCAACTAGCGGATCAATGAAAACATCTGCTACATTAGTGGGAGCTTTCAGTTGGACAAGGAAAAGGTCTCTGAGAACAATAGAATAGAATAGAATAGAATTTTTATTGGCCAAATGTGATTGGGCACACAAGGAATTTGTCTTGGTGCATACTCTCTCAGGGTACATAAAATAAAAGATATGTGCCCAACTTCTTTATATACATAATTTTTATTAAAGAAAGATTTTACCCAGTTGAAGGATAAACACAAAACGATATAGAATAAAAATGATAAAGAAAAAAAGAGTGAATAGACATAATAGGCTTCCTTCCCCCTCATATCCATCCTCCCTTTTTTTCTTTTTTTTAATCTTTTAATGACCCCGTAATTCCTTGCGGGGTGGAGTCGGGGCAACTGAATGGAGCTGAGTGTTTACTGGCCGGATGCCCTTCCTGTCGCCAATATGGAGTTTTATTCAGCAGATATTTACCCATTGTGCCCAGAGAGAAAAATATCTGCCACTATCTAGGATCGAACTCACAGCCTCCTGATTGTGAGGCGAGAGCTCCACCTCTAGGCCCCTCCCCTCATATCCACCCCTTATTAATTGGTAAACCCAGAAATCACCCGTTCATTCTTATCCATTTTCAACAAAAAGCCCATAAAAGGTTTCCAGTCTTTTATAAAAGAGGAACAGTGCCCCAAATGCCCAAACCTAGCTCTGGGTTGCTCAGAGGAGCTGTGAAGTGGAAGGCAACAGGATTTCACAGCTGTCTCTCTACTTTCAACTCACGTTTCAATGACATCTGCCTCCAGCACGGATTGGACTGGTAGGTACCCTCTCTGGGGATGCTTGCTGAAGTACTGCTTGGAACGGAATTTGTTTTTTAAGGTGGTAGCAAAATCCCTCATGTTCTCGCTGGAAGTGGTCTGCAAAGAACCAGGATTAAGAGCCAGGGACACCTTCAGCCTAGCACTTGACTGATTCTAACAGGAGCAGGACAGATCTTTTGGAAGATTATAATCAGAACATGGAAAGCAAGAAGTTGTTGAGCTATTCTGAATCCTGACAAATAGCACCAGCCTTGCAAGGTAGCCCAGACAAGAAGTACCATATTTTTCGGAGTATAAGACACACCGGAGTATAAGACGCACCTTAGTTTTTGGGGAGGAAAATAAGAAAAAAGCTGATTGGCAAGTGGATCAGCCTCCCGGAATACCCCCGATCAACTGTTCCCAGAGGTGAATTTTAGCAACAGGTTCCTTGGTTGTGAGCTCTGTGCCTTGCTTTTTTTTCAGCCTCTGAAACCTCCTTTAAGAGGCTTTTTTTCAGCCTCTGAAACCTCCCTTTAAGAGGCTTTTTTCAGCTTCTGAAACTTCCATTTCAGAGGCTTTTTTTTTTCAGCCTCTGAAACCTCTCTTTAAGAGGCTTTTTTTAGCTTCTGAAACCTCCCTTTAAGAGGCTTTTTTCAGCCTCTGAAACTTCTGTTTCATTTAGTCATGCCGGCCACATGACCACGGAGATGTCTTCGGACAGCGCTGGCTTTTTGGCTTTGAAACGGAGATGAGCACTGCCTCTTAGAGTCGGGAACAACTAGCATGTACAGTATGTGCAAGGGGAACTTTTAACTTTACCTTTAGTCTCCCTTTATTTCTTTGTTGGTAAAATAAAAATATAAACCCAACACACAAAAAATAGTTGGTCGGGAAAGCGACTGCCTGCGAAGTCCCCTGGATTGGGGCTGAAAGGCAAAAGCGGAAGCAGTATGCTCCATCCCATAGTTGGGTAGACCAGGTTGCTCTGATAGACCAGTTTCACCGGAAAAACACTTCATCTGAAGTATACTTCCCTGGATACTCCAATCATTATTCTTGCCTTATTTTTTTTTCATTAAAAAAAAAAAGAGAGAGAGATCAGTAAACATAAATGTAAAGGTTCCCCTTGCACATATGTCCTAGTCGTTCCCGACTCTAGGGGGCGGTGCTCATCTCTGCTTCAAAGCCGAAGAGCCAGCGCTGTCCAAAGACGTCTCCGTGGTCATGTGGCCGGCATGACTCAATGCCAAAGGCGCACGGAATGCTGTTACCTTCCCACCAAAGGTGGTCCCTATTTTTCTACTTGCATTTTATACATGCTTTCGAACTGCTAGGTTGGCAGAAGCTGGGACAAGTAACGGGAGCTCACCCCGTTACCCGGCACTAGGGATTCGAACCGCTGAACTGCCGACCTTTCGATCGACAAGCTCAACCACTGAGCCACTGCATTAGTAATAAGTAGCAAATTCTACCCTAAGGCCTATGCAGGACTGCACAATCTGCTGCCCCATAAGGATGCTAAGGAGAGCCTCCCTTAAGCAGCACCCAACCACTGTGCATAGTTCGTTGAAGACCATGCTCTTCTCTTCTCTTACCATCGTATAATATTCCATGATGGGATAATGCAGCTTGTTCCCTTTGCTGGCTCGTCCCGTCAAGAAACAAGCCTGGCAGATGTCCACATTGAACTGCTTGAGGCTGCGGTATCTGGAGTAACCGAAAAATTGTTCATCGTTACCGGCCAACCCAAATATTGATGTCAATCAAATGCCTGCACACAACCAAAACTCATTTCAATTGCAGCAAACCAGGATACAGACAGACTCTGCATGATGGGATGCAATCCAACTTAAAACAAACTTTCATCTAAAAAAAAATAAAATCCAAACCTGTTAAAACTACTATAGATTTTTCCTTCGGATATATTGTTTTGTATGTTTTTAAATTGCACCCTGAAGTATTGGTTTTCTGAATCAGATTTGGCAGCTGAATGCGGCGTAGCTGGATTTTGTCACCTTGCATGGCACTGGCAAGCTTCTTTTCTTGATCTTCTGACCTTCATGGCCAGAAGTACGGGAAAGATCCAACTCGGCTGAAGTTTGTGACATGGAGAAATAAGAAGCAAGGTGGTGGGGTGGGGGTGCTTTGTTCTTGCCCTGAGGCTGATCAAAACTGAAAACAGAGTTCTTGTGTATTGACACTTGGCGACTGGAGAAAACTGAGTGCACCCCTGATGACCCATTCCTAACAGCTCTAAGTCTACAAAGACGTATCCAAGGATTTTGATTATGGCAATGAAAATATTTCTCTCTTATTCAGAGGTGTCAAACTCAATTTCCTTGACGGCCACATCAGGGTTGTGTTTGACCTCGGGGGAGGGGGGTCAGGATGGGCGTGGCCACCTTGATATCACTCGTGTTGGGGGCATCTGTGGTGGCCCGAGCGCTCTGCCAGCGAAAATGGGTTCACAGACTCTTTTCGGCCGCAATGGCCTCCTGCTGCCCTCTGCCAATGAAAACGGAGCTGAGGGGGACAGTCCATGGTCCTCCCAGGCTGCATTTTTGACTGTGATGGCCTCCTGCTGCCCACTGCCAGTGAGAACAGAGCTCAGGGGGCCGCAGAGGGTGGCAGGAGGCCATTGCAGCTGAAAATGGAGCCTGGAAGGCAGTGGTGAAAGGCAAAAATTTTTGCTACCAGTTCTGTGGGCATGGCTTGGTGGGCGTGGCTTGGTGGAGAGGGGGAGTCATGTGACTGGGTAGGTGTGGCCAACTTTTTTTTTTTTTAAGTATTTTTTACTACCGGTTCGGGCGAACTGGTAGTAAAAAAAATGCTTTTAAAAAAGTAAAAAAAAAGGTTCCGATGATCGCTTGGCACAGCTGTGATCATCGAAACTTTTTTTACTTTTTAAAGCATTTTTTTACCACCGGTCTGCCGAACTGGTAGTTTTTATCAATATCGGTTCGCCCGAACTGGAGTGAACCGGTAGCATATCACCCCTGTTGGGAGGGCTGCGCACAGCCCTCCCGAGCTCTGTTTTTGCTGGCAGAGGCTTCGCGGGCCACTCTTTCGCTGTTTCAAAGGCAGCCCTGCAGGCCAGATCTAAGCATCTCCGTGGGCTGGATCTGGCCCACGGGCCTTAAATTTGACACCCCTGCTCTTACTGAATGATTCATAAGGTTCCTCGGTCTTTTTTCCCTTTAGCTAAAAAAAACCCCAACAGGGCTATTTATATTGTAGGGCCTTGTTGAGTCTCCAATATTAAAAAGTTCTTAAAAATAAAGCTTTTGTGTCTCATCCCTTTTTTTTTAACTTCATCCTTTCGCTTAAAAACGTTGCAGCTGTCTTGAGGGTGGCCGAATGCCTTTTTCAAACTGTTTGTTTGTCCGTCTACTGCAGGGGTGAAATGCTCCCGGTTCGGTCCGGTTCGGCCGAAGCGGTAGCAATGGCTGCCAGTGGTTTGGAGAACCGGTAGCGATGGCAGTGTGAGGCTCCGCCCACCTGCCCGGTCATTACTTCCTGCTTTTAACCAGGAAGTAACCGGTTTTTTACCCTCTGCGCATGTGCAGAAGGGTTTGCGCATACACAGAGGATCCACGCGTGGGAGGCGCGTGCTCTTCCGAACCGGTTGGTAAGGTAAGTAGATTTCACCCCTGGTCTACTGCCAAGTCAGGCTCAAACCGAATCCTTTTTAATCTGGCTACCTGAAAAATGACATCAGAGGCACTAAATCCAGACTGGCTACTTAGGGCTATAAATTTCTTAGCTGATGAACAATTTAGATATATCATAATGATTGATTCAGCCAGGGGTATTTGAATAAAAAGAGCGCACTCTTTCACACGGCTAATGGCTTATGATGGCTACACTTTGGCGTGAGCTGAGATACTATCAGTTCATAAATCAGAGTTGGACTCCTGAGGTATAATGAATTCATTTGGCATGCAAGCTCCCAATCACTTTGTGTCGGGGTGAAATCTTAATTACCTTCCCTACCAGTTCGCCGTGCACGCGCGCTCATTCTGCGCTCGTGTGCATTTGTCATGCACGCGCACAGACCCTCTGAGCATACGCAAACCCTTCTGTGCATGCACAGAGGGTAAAAAACAGGTTAAACCAAGGAAGTGACGACAACTGGGCGGGTGGGCGGAGACTCGCGCTGCCGTCGCTACCAGTTCTCCGAACCACCTGCCGCCATTGCTACTGGTTCGACTGAACCGGTCCGAACCAGTAGCATTTCACCCCTGCTTTGTGTGCGGCATTTGAGGTGTGCTTAAAGTAAATGTACAGTTTATCACATAAACAGTGGATTGGTCTTTTGTCTGGAATTTTGCTTTTATGTACAGTTGCAGCGGTGATTTTTGAAAATGTTGAAACGATCAGTCTGTATCCACCAGCCTTCCAGCAGAAGGACCCTCTGTGTTACTTTCCATACCTGAAACCTTTGATGGGACATTGCCTGCAGATGGAGCACTTAGTCTGGTGTTTTACTTGCTCAGCAATGGCTACTCGGTGAAGGACGGCCAGCCACACCATTGACTGTGGCTCTAAGTTTGCCCATTCCAGGAACTGAGTTGCCTCAATGGATGCTTTGCCATTTCCCTAGAAGAAGGAAAGGAGACAATCAAATCCCACAACTTCTGAGGCTGTACACTTTTTCTCTCTGAATCTGTAATATAAAACTCCCCTTTTTAGGATCCTGTAATCCCTTAATTCAGGGTAGAGTCGGGGCGACTGGATGGAACTGAGCGTTTACTGGCCAGATACCCTTCCTGACGCCTAGGTGGAGTTCACAGCTGATATTTTTTCCTCCAAATCTATGATATGCTACATTCAGTTCCTTGGGCTTGAGAATGAACAGGGTTAAAATTATTGGATTTGGTGAATTTAACATGACAACAAATTGGATTAAAACAACCTTTGAAAGAATATGATTAGATATGCATACTAGTCAGGATATTTAAGGTTTTCGTTTGTTTATAGTTTTACAAAGTAATGTTTTAGTCTAGCAAGTAATTTTTTAGTTTAAAGCCCCATAGGGTCACCATGACTGCATTTGCTACAACTTGGAAATAATAAATCACAAAAGGAACTGGTAATTGTAATTGCATTCTATGACTATCTTCCACCCCTCTTCTTGATAAGGGTTCCTATCAAGAATATCAACAGGGGTAAAATCAAGGGTGTCCTGGGATTACATGTTTGTCAAAAAACAGGAAAGATGACGGCTGCAGTTATCTGATCAAAGTCTTACTCCTTTTTTACATGTGTGTTGCATGCGTGCCGCACGTCAAAAGGTAACAGGGCTCCAATCACACGCCTCCACCTGCCATTTTAATTTTTCTAAACTCCCCCTCCACACAAATGCCCCTGGGAAAAGCGGAAACAGCCTCACTTACAAAGCGGAAACAGCTGCGCACACTGGGCTCCACATTGCTCCCGCCGAAGGCCGCCACTTCCCCCAGCTGCCGCGGGACTTGGATGGCTTCGTGGAGCAAGATGCCGAGATGCCTCTGGTCGCAGAGCCCGCTGGAATTGGCCACCTGGCTGAAGAGATCTGAAAGCAGAAAGGAAGGAAGGAAGAGCATGCATAGATTACAGGGAGGAGAGAAAACAGGAAGAGCGGCCTTCCTCATGCCATCTTCCCAGTCTCATAGGAAGAAAATAAGCTCGATTCAAACCTATATCTCAACTGTTAAAAATGCAGAGGAGAAATTTTAGTTCCGCGAAGGCTCCAATTCTTTATATTCTCACTGAACTATAGTCCCCAGTGTTCTTTGGAAAAAGACATCTTTAACCACCGAGCCATTGCGCCCCTCAAGATTCTCTTCCCCAGATATTCCTCAATAAGGAGTACAGTATCTGGGAGAAAACAATGGCTTTGAGGAAGACATTCTCTTCTTCAAAACAGAAGACGACTCGAAATTTGGGAGACAATCTCTCTCTGGCAGGATGGCCCATCTCGTGTCATTCCCTATAGGTAAAGATTCCCCTTGCACATATGTGCTAGTTGTTCCCGACTCTAGGGGATGGTGCTCATCTCCGTTTCAAAGCCAAAGCTGTCCGAAGACGTCTCCGTGTTCATGTGGCTGGCATGACTAAATGCCAAAGGCACATGGAACGCTGTTACCTTCCCACCAAAGGTGGTCCCTATTTTTCTATTTGCATTTTTTTACGTGCTTTCGAACTGCTAGGTTGGCAGAAGCTGGGACAATTCACAGGAGCTCACCCTGTTACGCGGCACTAGGGATTCGAACCGCTGAACTGCTGACCTTTCGATCAACAAGCTCAGTGTTTTAACCACTGAGCCACTGCGTCCCTTTTGTCATTCCCTATAGATCTTGTCTATTGGGGCAGAAGCTTTCCTCCACTGCCAAAATTAAGAGCCGGAGAACGATGGAACATGGCTGCCATCCAGACCAAGAACCGTTTCTTGGATGCAGCTGCCCGTGACTCTCTCTCCATCCTTGCTAAATCTGGAAGCCTCCCCCTCGGATTCCACCAGCCGTTTTCTGCAGAGTGACTCACACTGGAATTTCTCCTTCACCTCCGTGCCGCAGAGACACGCGATGCCCGTCTTGAAGGAGAGCGCCCGCATCTTCCCGCTGCGCCCACTGAAAAGAAAAGGAGCAGGGTGAAAACGTTTTGTCCTCTGTTCCCCTGATAAAAAGCTGCATCTTTTTGCCAGCTTGTCAGATGAATGGGAACCCTTCTTTACAAAGCTTCTTTTAATTTCGTCGCCATCTGCTTCCTCGTCGTTTCCATGCGTAGTTCTAAGCCTCCCCTCCGGAGCGAAAGAGAGGAGAGGCCTGGAGAAGCTAACGAATTCCAGTTCAGTTCAAATTCCTGTGTCCCCCCCCCTACAAGTCTGAATTTTGCTGGAGATTTCCCACATTGATAAAAAGAAAATAGCAGCGGCAACCCAAACAATGAACAGGTCCTGAAAGGGCCCAGCTTAGGAATGGATGAGAATTTTGCTGCCATAAAACGCAATATTTTAAAGATGTCCCATTCAAGGTGAAGAACCTGGCTGGAATTCTTGGGCCGTGACTTTTAATTTTCCTCTAATAAATAACATTGATTTAATATAAATCCTAGGTTCTCACCCCTTGGATTATCTCCTTCCAGTCTTGGAAGGAGGAGCATGGGGGAAGATTTGTTTTACAGACAATGCAAAATGATTAATTTTATTGATGTATTTGGAAAACTTACATGGCCAGCCACCAGTGGGATGTGGGGGTTCTCCACTCAATCATAGCTAGAGGTTTGCCCGAACCCCTGTGAACCCCCAGCAGCCCACCCCTGTCCCTGACTTACAGTAATCATCTCATTTTTGCCCCAGGGATGAGTGAGGAAATGACTGCTTTTCTCTGAAGTAACAGTCCCAGAGAGAGAGACACACACACACACATTTTAGTAAGCTTTTGTTCTTTGCATGGGTATCGGTCCCCAATACCTGTCAAAAACGTTCAGCAGCCAATTCAAGCTCATGTCCACACAGAGAGGGACATTGACCAGAATGCCTCTTTCCTCCTCCAGCCGCTCATACAGAGCGGTCAAGCAATGGATCACTTCGACCACGTCCATCACGTGGTCACTGGGCTGGAGCTCATGTTCATTAAAGACCTCCAAGGCTGTGGACAGCGTCACCATATCCACTGTGGGGTAGAAAAAAGGAGGGTCAAAACCAGGAGATGATTGTGGGAGACAAATGAAAAACAAAGCAGCCACAACACATCTCGATAGCAATAGCACTTATATACCGCTTCACAGTGCTTGACATCCCTCTCTAAGCAGTTTACAGAGTCAGCCTATTGCACCCAACAATCTGGATCCTCATTTTACCCACCTCGGAAGGCTGGAAGGCTGAGTCAACCTTGAGCCAGTCAAGATTGAACTGCTGGCAATGGGCAGAATTAGTCTGCAACACTGCATTCTAACCACTGGGAAGGAAGGAAGGGAGGGAGGGAGGGAGGGAGGGAGGGAGGGAAGGGAAAGAAGGAAGGAGGGAGGGAGGGAGGGAGGGAGGGAAGGAAGGAAGGGCAATAGCACTATCACTTAGACTTATATACCGCTTCACAGTGCTTTACAGCCCTCGCTAAGCGGTTTTACAGAGTTAGCCTGTTGCCCCCAACACTCTGGGTCCTCACACAACATCATCAAGGAGGAGCTGGATGTGCAGGCAAGTCAGCCCATGCCCACATCTTCCTTCAAGGCCACATATGAAGCTCATGGTGCAGACCGATTCTGAATTCTATCGGAGGCAAATGCAACTTGAGTGGACGGAGGAAGGAGGAAGGGCAAGGGCTTACGTCTCAAAGCCTTCTGCACCCGGCGTAGCTTCATGGCCGTACGGTAAGCGGAATACTTGATGTTGTTTAAGTCGGCTGAGAAAAGAAAAAAGGAGAGAAAGAAAGGAAGCCGTCGATTTCATATCCTTTCCCTTGACAATTGGAGACCCTTGGCTCCCCAGAATAATCCCTTCTCCTTTTTAGGACCACCCAAAACACGTTGGAACTGCAACTCCCAGAGATTGTTCTAGAGCAAGGGTGTCAAATTCAAATTCAAACCTTTATTGTCAGCGCACAACATCTGTACAATGAGATTGGTGGAGCTCCCTCAGTGCACCTCCCATCCCCGACACAATACAACTCACAGTGAAGACAGAAAATCCCTAACCAATAAATCATATTAAAAAAAACACCCAGTCCTATTGCAGCAGTGTGAACATGTTACACATTGCGCCGGCCCTGAGGGCCAGGCTGAGACACCGCGGGCCGATCCTTCGATGTTTCCAGGGTAGCCCCGCGGGGCCAGATCTAAGCACCCTCCCGGGCCTCATCCGGCCTCCGGGCTTTGAGTTTGACACCCCTGTTCTAGAGTTTATTGACTGTCAGTTCCCACTGTCCATGAGATGGTATTACGGGTAGCTCTCAATTCGCAAAAGTTCATTTACTGACCATTCGAAGTTACAATAGCGCTGGAAAAAGTGACTTATGACACTTAACGACCATTGCAATCGGCCCCGTGGTCACATGGTCACAATTCAAATGTTTGGCAACTGACTCGTATTTATGACGGCTGCAGTGTCTCCGGGTCACGAGATCCCCTTTTGCGACCTTTTGACCAAAACCAAGTCCACAGGGAAGCCAGATTCAGTTGAACTAACTTAACAATTGTGCAGCGATTCACTTAACAACTGTGGCAAGGAAGGTCATAAAATGGGACAAAACCCACTTAACAAATGTTTCACTTCGCAACAGAAATGTCGGGCTCAGTTGTGGTCGTAAGTCGAGGATTACCTGTACGGTTTTTCTTACCCAGCGTTTGGTATAATTCAGTCATCTTTGGATGGTCCCAACAGGTTGTCTGGGCTTGGTGGCTAGAAAAAAAAATAATTTAATTTTTAAATTAAAATTAAATTTATTAAAATTAATAAATTAAGTCATAAGGCTACTTTAATTATGTTTGTCACACAGTTGCAAAGAAACAAACTCAGGTACTTCATGGATCTAGGATGGGAAGAAAAGAATGCCCAGGAAAAACTCCTGTTTTTCACGCTTCCACGCTTCCTGAATTTTGGTAATAATAATAATACTTAAATTGGACGCTTGGATGGAAACAAATAACACCAGTCCAAAGGCTCATATAAATAATACAAAAATACGCTTGGGCTCCTGCATTGAGAACATAACGGATTAGTACAGGGGGAAAAAAAAATCAATGATATTGATTTCTACAAGGTGCAAATGAAGGTTTAAAGAAAAGGATATGGCAAGAGGACGGAAGGTTGCTAAGAATAACGAAGGTCGAGACACCGGAGGAAGCTTTGTAAGACATAGCTTGATACTCACTTGATGTAATAAGGAACTTTATTGGGAGAAATGGCTCGTTCCCAGGGGACCTGGACTGAGGCTGCAAAGGAAAAACAAGAGGAGGTTTGTTAGCTCAGGGTTGAACTGCGGGGTTCTTGGTGCTCTCTGAGCTTGCTGGTTTTCTTGCAAATGTTTCCTTACCTTACTAGGTAACATCATCAAAGCTAGAAGGGAGAGGAGGAGGAGGAGGAGGAAGAGGAGGAGGAGGAAAAGGACTGTGGGGTCCTTGGTGCTCTCTGAGCTTGCTTGTTTTCTTGCAGATGTTTCATTACCCAACTAAGTAACATCATCAAAGCTAGAAGGGAGAGGAGGAGGGAGGAGGAAGGAGGAGGAGGAGGAGGAGGAGGAGCAGGAGGAGCAGGAGGAGCAGGAAAAGGACTGTGGGGTCCTTGGTGCTCTTTGAGTTTGCTTGTTTTCTTGCAGATGTTTCATTACCCAACTGTAGGTAACATCATCAGAGGTAGAGGGAAATGGGGTTTGCTCTCATTTTATGCCACCGGTATATAAAATCCCACGAGTATATAAAAGGAGAGCAATTCCCCATTTAGAGAAAAAAAAAAAAACCCAGTGCACCTACTCGACAGGAAGTGTTGAGATCCTGGCCCAAAGTCCCGGTGGGCATCTTGAAGGTGCTTCAGACGGTCATTGATGGAGACCTGTGCAGAAGATGGACCCGTCAAACTAAGTTGTGCGAAAAGTTCAGCCTTTCGGTCTGAGGAAGACGTTCCGTGGCTGAGCACGTCTAGAGACTTTTGAAAGCCAGCTGTTCTATCACCGAATCCTCCCCACAGAGTAGGGAACATGGCAGTTATAAGTGGTGGAATTCAAATAATTTAACAACCGGTTCTCTGCCCTAATGATTTCTTCTAACAACCAGTTCACCAAACTTCTCAGAAAGTTAACAACCGGTTCTCCCGAAGTGGTACGAACTCGCTGAATCCCAGCACTGGTTATAGTTCAGCACAACCGAAATGTGCCCAGTTTTTTTTTAGTTTTTTTTAAAATTTGATTTATATGCCGCCCTTCTCCGGAGACTCAGGATGGCTTACAATGCGTTAAGCAATAGCCTTCATACTTTTGTATATTTTATACAAAGTCAGCTTATTGCCCCCACAAACTGGGTCCTCATTTCACCTACCTTAGAAAGGATGGAAGGCTGAGTCAACCTTGAGCCTTGGAGAGATTCGAACCAGCAGAAATTGCAGGCAGCTGTGTTAAGGCAGGGTGCGTAGACCACTGTACTATCAAGGCTCTTGCAGGGAAAGCTAAAGTTGGGTACCAACTTACACATAAAAACATACGCAGCAGGTAGCTTCCAACTCCGCTTGTCTATATTTTGGGAAGGTGGGAGGGGTAGGAGGACCTGGGTTGAAAGCAGACCAGACTAGGCACCAGGTTGCTCCAAGCCAGGGGTCACCAACCTTTTGGACCTCAGGGCACACTAAATTCATAATTTTAAATCCCGCTAATATGAATTAGTGACGGGATGGGGTCCTTCAGGCACTTAGCTTGGCTGCCTGTTAGCGGAGAGAAGCGCCCGGGGTCAACCCTAGCTTTGCTGTCCATTGCAGCTAGGAATCTCAAATACAGCCAAGAATGAATGTTTGTCTTGTAGCCAGCCTGGGCGTTAGATCAGCCCCTTGCAAACTCCATCTCTCAAGGAGCCCGGCCGAAGTTTCACGCGCCGTTCGCGGAAGCGCCTAGACTCCCAGCTGGAGCTACTAAACAGGTGGCCAAGCTAAGTGCCTGAAGGACCCCATCCCCTCAGCGAGCGGGATTAATTGCTTCGGCGGGCCATATCTGGCCCAGGGGCTGTAGTTTGAGGATCCCTGATTTAGTGTAATATTAAAAAAAAATTGCAAAAACACAAAGATTTTTCTGTGGACTACCAAAATTTTCTTGCAGACCATCAGTGGTCCACGGACCACCAGTTGGTGACCACTGCTCCAACTCTTTTGCAAGATGTCTCACCTGTAGCTGTTTCCAACGTGTGTTGATCTGTTCTAGAGCACGGGAGTTTTCCATGGACAGGTGAACATCAGAGATCGCCAGCTGGTGTGCAAGGTCATTCACAAGTTTCACTCCGTCTTTCATGGGGGAAAGCTCCTCTTGGAACAACTGGGGAGCCACATCAGTCCAAGTAAAAGCAGGAGAGATCGAGGGGGGGGGGAAGAGACAGAGACAGAAAGAAAGCAAATAATCAGTAACCCAGATCGATGAGTCGTAGATTGGTCTTGGTCTCCGTCAAGCTTCTGACCGCCAACTAATAATTCTGTGAACCAGAGATATTTTTATTGGGCATTCTACCAGAAAAATATGATAAAAAAGACTGCATATTTGATCCTGCATATATTAACTGCAACCAGAATAGTATTTGCGCAACAATGGAGAAATGATGAGATTCCGTCTGAGGGGAATGTAATTTAAAAAAATATTAGATTTTGCAGAAATGGATAGATTAACACTTGCTATTAAGGATAAAGAAGAAACTGAATATTTTTTGATGTGGGACGTATTCTATCAATGGCTAGATAACGGAAACAGAAGTCAGAAAGGAGGAGATAATAATGGAGGAAATGGGATAGAGGAGAGTTGCTAGATGAGGATGTTAAATGTTATATATTAATGTTATTATAGTACAATATTGTTATATTATTAATAGGATGGTGATGAACATAATTGTACCCAGAACGCACACTGTTTGATGAAACAGCCTTGGTGGTGCAGCAGATTAAAGTGTTGTTAAGTAGCACTTAGCTGCCAGCTGCCTGCAATTACTGCAAGTTCAAATCTCACCAGGCTCAAGGTTGACTCATCCTTCCATCCTTCCGAGGTAGATAAAATGAGGACCTGGATTGTGGGGGCAATAAGCTGACTTTGTATAAAAAAAGAACACTGCTTGGGGGTGGGGGGAGCAAAAGCCCTACTAAAAGCAGGTATATACAAAAAGTATGAAGGCTATTGCTTAACGCATTGTAAGCCGCCCTGAGTCTCCGGAGAAGGGCGGCATATAAATCGAACCAATAAATAAATAAGTAAGTAAGTAAGTAAGTAAGTAAGTAAGTAAGTAAGTAAGTAAGTAAGTAAATAAATAAATAAAATGGAAAAAACCTAGTAATTCTGTGATTACAGAACATTAACATGTCTTAAGAGCAGCCAGGATTATCTTCGCACAATATTGGAAAAACGAAGAAACACCGCAAGACGAAGAGATAATTAAGAAGATGCTAGATTGCGCAGAAATGGATAGACTGACATCAAAAACCAAACAGAAAGAAGACACAGAGTATTATCAAACATGGAAGTTATTTTACCAGGGGTTGGAAAGAAAGGGCAGAGAGTAAGAATGCCAAGCTTCTGACCTCCAGCTAGTAATTCTGTGATTGCAGAACATGATTTAAGAATTGATACGTTGGGCGAATCCAGTCATTGTGATGTGTTCAACAAACCATCACTTACCAGGGGGAATGCACAAAATATGGAACGGTGATTGCATGAAGCATGCTAACAAACCTTTTCTGTCCTCCGACTTTTTTACATTTGGCAAGAGGTAAGGAATCAAATGGATGCTATAAGCCAGTGGGGAAATGCTACTGGTTCGCACCGGTTTGGGAGAACCGATAGTGATAAAAACTACCGGTTCGGATGAACCGGTAGTAAAAAAAAAAGCTACCGGTTCCTCTGAACCGGTATTTCCAATGATCAGCTGTTCTGCGTGATTTAAAATTACTACTGAATCTAAATCGTGTGGCATAGCTGTTCCTCCCCTCCTTTTTCTGCATGAAGCGTGTGTTTGGCACACACCACACATGTGTGCACACAGTGTGTGTTTGGCACGCATCGCACATACGCAGCCAGTGAACTGGTGGCAAACCAGTTCAGATTTCACCACTTCCATAAGCCTTGTAGAGGTTGAAAGCAATTACTTCACTCCTTAAAACTCATGTGTTCTTCTCCCCAAACCGCTCCTTGCTCTACTGATAGAGCAATACCTCACACAAAATATTGTAGTGTCTTCGAGGTGATAAATGCTCTACAGCCCTGACTCAACACAACATTGGACCCTAGTCACTTTGCATACTTCTAGAGTTAGTGCTCTGTTGCACAGTGAGATGCTGAGTCTACAGTACCTTCATCTGTCTAATTCAGGGTCGGCAACCTTAAACACTCAAAGAGCCACAAAGGTCCTAACTGGAAGCCCCCCATTCAATTCTGGAGCTGACCTGAAGTCCGGTTCCCCCACTATAGAGTCTCCTCCTAGTGCGGCGTCCTTTTTCCTTTTACCGACCGGTGACAGGGAGCCGCAGCACAGGGATGAAAGAGCCACATGCGGCTCCAGAGCTGCGGGTTGCCAACCCCTGGTCTAATCTTCCCTCCAGATCTCTTAAACAAGTACAGAATGAGTGACCAAAGATTACCTTGGTGGCTTGGATATGCTCCGGCAAAGAATCGATGAAGAGGTCTCCAATGGGTTCCCATGTCTCTTGCACACTTTCAGCTTGGTTGAGGGTGGTGCTGAGTTCTTCCATGGTCGCTTTGATCTCCAGCAGCTGCTCTAGGGTCCTCTCAATGTGACGGTGCTGGTCGACACAGCGGGCGGTCAGCTTTTCCCACAGTTCGCTGGCCACCGTCGCCTGTTTCCACACAAAACGGCTGATATTCTGGATCCGGTGTCTTGGGGAGACATCTAAAAAGAGAACATCGAGGAGGGAGAAGACCTGGTGTTGAATTTCCAGTAATGCAACTGTGTCATCAGCAGATCTGATGGACTTTCAAAAGTCAGAGTGGAGAGCAGAACATTAGAAAAGCCTTGCAGGATCAGACCAATCGTCATCTACGTAGTTCAGCATTCCAAATTACACAACTGTAGTCAGAAACTCCCTAGTACAGAAAGGAGGGTGATGATGACTCTGTTCCACTTGTGATAACCGACAGCTGGCATTTATTTTATGCTGCTTACAATTCAGGAGGTTGTACATATTTCGGTGACAAATAAATTAGCAGTAGATAAAAATAGAAGGCAACCAGGTTTTGGGAAGAAAAGGAAGAAGGAGGAGATGGGAGGGAAGGATGGTTGGATAGTATTGTCTTCACCGTGGTTCCATGTACACATTTCCTCTGCAGGGATAGTGTTTATGACTTTACGGGCAGTCTATATCATGGATACAGAAGAAATGTTTCATGCAAATAATCTCAGGTTCAAATGTGAATAAATATAAAAATGCATTTAAGGCAGTAGTGGGTTTCAAACCCCGGCGCTACCAGTTCGCTATTGGTAGCGTGAATCATTTTTGATGACGTCTGGGCGGGTGGGTGGAGCTTCCCACTGCTGTCACTACCGGAACACTCGAACTGGGGCGAACCGGGAGCAACCCACCACTGATTTAAGGGAAAGGGGAAAAAAATCTGTGGACAGAGAAGAAAAAAGAACCCCCCCCCCAAAAAAAGAAAAAAAAGAACATTCAATGAAGACAGAACATACTCGGCGAGTGTCAATTGAGAGATGATGGTTTGGAGAAGAGGAATGAAATGGAATGATATCCATGGGAAGATCATGGCTAGCTGGCTGGCATCCCAGTCAAGAGACAACACTATTTTATATTTTATAACATGGGAACTATTCGACAAATGGATAATTGACAGATACTGAGGTTAGAGGAGTGGATTTAAGTGAAATATGGATATGAGAAAGAAAAACTGATGAGTAAATATTTTGATGGTTATATAATTGATACTAAAATGGAAGATAGTTGTTCTGACTTAGGCTTCCTGAGAAAGCATAAATCACAATTTTAGTCCCAAAAAAACTCTTTTATTGAGACGGCTGTGAATTATGGTCATTCACAGCTCATAATGATTCACAAACAGTCTGTGAAGATTCCGATAGATGTCTGCTCGAGTTGACACAGTCTTTCAGGGTAATGTTGATAAGCACCCACCTTTATCTCCCTTGAAACTCTGCCAGATTAGTTTTGCAAGGCCAAACGGAGCACAGAGTCAAACAGACTTCTCAGAGCTTGAATTGATCATATGAACTAATTGCTTCCTGCAAAGGGTCACATCCGTTTGCTCCTCTTTTGTGTCTTATGGGAGGGGCCAATCATCTCCAAGCCTTACTCCTGAGTCGCCCCTTTTTTTCTTAATTGTTCTTACCCTCTGGCAGCTCTGCGCATGCGCGCACTGGGAACAGGCTCACACTGTTCTTCTGCCTTGCTAATGTCAGATTCCGGAGGCTCTGGAGGCAGCACATAACTACCAGATGGCCCTGGTCCCCTCTCTGCCTCCGACGCAGAGCCCTCGTCCGAGCTTTCCCCAGACTCCACGACTGGCCCATGTTCCTCCCCAGCCTCCTCACTGTCCGAGTCTGCTGCCAGCTCCGCAGGCTGCCGGCAGACCACAACAATAGTATACTTTTCAATAACGATTGATATTATCGCATATATGTTTATATATATGTATGATTATGATGTTTATACGTTAACACTTTGGACACCTAGAAAACACACTGTTCAACATAGAAATGAAATATGTGATATAAAACAAAAAAAAATATTTAACACAAGAGACAACACTTGATGTACTGTTGCTGGAATAACTGGCTATCAATTATTTGGGTCCATTAGGCTTCCTGATTCTGAATATTTGATTTCCCCAGTTACTTCAGAAAGGTTCTTACTCATTCTGGGTAACCTTTTCCTATCAAAGGACTTTTCCTGGGCTGGGCTTTTAAGCCACAAGCTATTAATAAAGTTCTCCCTAAGATACTCCTTTGAAAAGCAGGAGGGCATCTCTGTGTCCACTAACACAGTTCTGGAGAGATTATTTTTCAAGATGAGGTTGAAAGACCAATCCACCAGCCGATACACTCCACCAGCTGAGCTGGCAACCTTTTGAAGTTCTGAAGGAGTCAAGAATAAGAGAAAATGTTTGGAAAGTGCAAGACCAGAGGGATGGAGAAAACGAGCAGATTTGCCAACCTTTGCTGTCAAGATTTACATCTTCCACTTCTTCAAACGGGTGCTGAGTAAGGAAAACTTGTGCCGATTCCAAAACGGAATAAATGTATGGTCCCCGAGACTTCACTTCTTCCATGAAGGCCTACATCAGGGAGAGAAGACCAGGAGAACCTGAAGTGAGAAGACTTGCAGTCTCTCCTTTTAATTCATCTCTGTCTGCTAGAGAAAAAAACAAACCAATTCTGCCTTCGTTTGCTCTTCTTTAAGATCCCCGAAGGAATTACAACTCATGCATACACAAGTGCAAAAGTCCTAAAAACGTTTGTTTTAAGTGGCACCCCTCCCCCCCGTGGCCCGTTTTTGCTCCCAGGGGGGTGCAGCAGGGGTGAAATGCTCCTGGATTGGGCCGGATAGCCTGGTCCAGTAGCGACCGTGGCTGTTGGTTCAGCGATCCGGTAGCGATGGCAGAGCGAAGCTCCGCCCACCCACCTGAGTGTCATTACTTCCTGATTTTAACCAGGAAGTAATGTGTTTTTTACCTTCTGTGCATGCAGAGAAGGTTTTACACATGCGCAGAAGGTCTGTGCACGCATGTGATGCGTGCACGTACATGGCACGTGTGCTTCTGAACCGGTAAGGAAAGTAAGTAGATGTTGTGGCTCTGTTACCTGAGCCTGTGTCATCGGCAGGAGAGGACTCCGAGAGTGAAGGAGAGGAGTTGGCAAGGCCTCCCTCTCCAGGACCCACCTCTCTGGCAATGCCTTCGGTGTCTGCCAAAGGGCAAGAGATAGGGCCGGGGCCAAGCACGTCCACGCAGCCACAGGTGGACAGTGATGAGGGAAATGAGTCTTGGCTGGATCCTTGGCAGCGTCGCAGAGATAAGCACGCGCAACAGAAGAAAAGGCGTGCCAGAGATTAAGCTGAGTCACTGGACCACACCCCACAGGGTATAAAAGGGGGTGAGGTGGCCATTCAGACTCTGTGACGGACAAAACTAACTACTATCAAGTCACACTGCATCTTTGGAAACAACATTTTCGGCCTTGGATTTATTTTACGAACTGGACAATTTTTTACTGTGTGCATTTTGTTTATGAGTAAAGTTCTTGGCAAGCAGCTACTGGGTTGCTGCCAAGCTTCTTATTGGAAGAATTGGTTGTCTGCCAGTTTATTTAACCCCCGGCTGTCTGTTTGTGTGCATGTGTGAGATGGGGACAGAACAGTAGATTTCATCCCTGGGGTGCAGAAGGCCGAATGCTGCCTGTCACACCCCCTGGCCATGCCCACCATGGCCACACCCACTCAGCTGGTCATTAATGCAGAGAACTGTTAATTTATTTGAATCCCACCACTGGGCCCAGGGAGATACGTGTTTGGAAACTCCTTGTGGATTCTGTTGGCTTTCTCAGATGTTCTGTAAGATGCTAGGATTGGTGTGGACTCTTGGTGCCTACCGTATGCCTCTCTTTCTCCTGCTGTACCAGGAGAACGTCCCCACGGAGCGGTAGCTGGGCAGAAATTTCCTCATCTTTTTGGCTAAGCCAGTCAATGATCTCCTGCAAAGGAATCTGCAGCTTGCCACTGTGATCCGAGAAGGCCTCTAGGCGAGCCCTGAGGAGACAAAGAAGACGTCAAAACCTGGGAGGACAGAAAAGAGGAGGTGTGGAAGCAAAGTTACACTTGGGACTCTTGGGGCTGCTTACCGGAGGCTGTGTGATTTCTTCTTAATCTCATTCCAGCATAGATTCATTTCCAGGGTCATCGGGGGCCCAACAGCACCGTTTGGAGGCTTCTTGTTCAGACTGGCTGGTATGGTGCCATCACGAGCTGTTTTAACCTAAGTGGAAAAACAGAACCTGATGAAAGAAGGGAAGCACAAAAGGGACAGAATCAATTTGATTCAGGCATCCCGCCCCCCCATAAATACGTTGCTGTTTATTTATTTAGCAGATTTATGTAGCCAGCTCTCTCATAGAACGTGACACTGGTTGTCCTAGAACCTCAGGGACAATTAAACAGTAGGACAAATATTAAAACACTGAAGTACAAATTAAAATGGGGAAAACAATTGAAAAACCAAGATTGCGAGAGAATACCAATCAACTCCTATAATACAACCACCTTGCGGGCTCCCCGCCCTGCGGTGGATGATTATTTAGATCTTTGAGTTTTAGTTACTTGTTACTTTGGGCATCCCATGGGCAGAAAGGCAGAATATTATTAGTAACCAAAATTGTGCTTGAAGGGGAGGGGAGTACACTTCATGGAGTGATGGAGTCAGCAGCTCAAGGCAAACATTTGCTTGGAATAAAAGCTCGTTCACAAAAACGTAGGAAAGAATTGCACCCAGCAGGAGATGACTATGCTACCCAGACCATGGTAGTTTTCAAAATGTAGATTCCTTTCCACACAACGAATGGTATCATGCCTCAGAACAAGCTCTACTCATCATCACTGTCATCATCAGCATCAACATCAACATTGTCATCATCAACATCATCAATATCAACATTGTCAACGTCAACATCAACATTCTCAATGTCAACTTCAACATTTCAATGTCAACATCAATGTCAACACTGTCATTGTCAACATCAACATCAACATCGTCAATGTCAACATTGTCAACATCCACATCAATGTCAACATCAACATTGTCAATGTCAATGTCAACATCAATGTCAACATTGTCAATATCAACATCAATGTCAACATTGTCATTGTCGTTTATTTATTTATTTATTTATTCAATTTATATGCTGCCCCTGTGTTAGCTTCTGGCACTGCCTTTTGTCAAATTCGTAGTTGGCTTCCCCCTCGGCAGGCTCCCATGTGCCAGATTAACACGGAGCGAGTCTGACAACGTAAACATCAAACAGCAGCATTTCCCAGTATCAGTTTGGTGTAATTTTTCAGCACCACGTTATTTCAGGGGCATGCATGCCCTAAGATGCCCACTTTCTTTTTCTTTTTTTAAAAATAATTTTTATTGAATTTTTAAGTTTTAAAAACAAAGTAAAGAAAAATACAACAAATAGCAAAAATACATTAACAAACATAACATTACATCATATATTATTTTACAGCTTACTGTATATACATGGATATGTATTCTTGATTCTTATTCAATCTTTCATCTACATACTTATATTTACATTAGTATCTATTTACAAAACCATCATTATCTAGTTAACACTGTTTAGCGATTTACACTTCCTAGTTTTAACCCGGTTAAATTAACATTCCGAATTGTTATTTTGATTTCTTTTTTCTGACCAATCATATAATTTATTCCATACTATAATATTCCGACTCTTCCCTCTCCTTAATTTCCAGTGTCATCTTATCCATTTCTGCACATTGTAGAATTTTTCAAATTACATTTCTTCTCCTGATACATGACTTTGTTTCCATCCCTGTGCGACAGTAATCCTTGCTGCCGTTAATATATGAAGGATTAGATATTGTAAAGATTTGTCTATTTTTGGGTTAATTATTCCTAATAAATAGAGTTCTGGTTTAAATTCCCTTTTTTAATTTGGTAATTTCCTCCAGCCAATTTTTAATTTTACGCCAACATTTTTTTTTTTACTAAGATGCCCCTTTTCAATTTCTGTACGTTTCAGCAATTGCAAACAGAAATCAATCACTGCAGACCAAATCATTTTTTCCTCAAGTAGAGCAGCCAATTTCTTCTCTAACTAAAGAGGTTTACAAGCAAAGAGAGACCGAAAGAGACACAACATGTTTGTCATTTTGTTCTAAGAAGCTGCTTTTCCAAAACATTTTACTTCAATTATCTTTTTTACAAAAGCTACCATCAGGCTACTGTTGTTTCCGCTGTTGGTTAGCCATTCCCAGGCTCAGAGTTGCCTTGAACCATGAGATGGGCAGACAATAAATTTGATGACAACAACAACAATAATAATGATAATAATAGCAGCCATAGCCATTGGTGCCTTTGGTAAATCCCAAAACAGCTGGAGCATCACTTGAATACCATCGGCACTGACAAAATCACCATCAGTCAATTGCAAAAGGCAGCTTCACTGGGAACAGCTCACATCCTGCAACCGTACTTTTAATACCACCAGACAACATTTGCCCACAATGTTCTTGGGAAGGACTCAATAGGTGAATAAAAATGTCAAATCCAGTCTGAATTTCTGGCTGACTGCATGAGAAACCATAATCATCCCCTGTTACCTGCTTGTATTTTTTTTTTTTTTTAATCTGCTGGGGGGAAAAAATCAAAGATGTCAAAGAGAAAAACGGGGCTCAAAAATGGTAGATGGCAACGTGTACTCTTCAGACAACCTGATGTTGGCTTCAAAGAAGACCCTGATTTGATTCCCAATGAGAGTTGCAATGGATCTTTTTTTTCTTCCCTTGGCAATTAAAGAGAGATTTCACTACAAAGAAATTATTACTGCAGAGCAAATACCAGTGACACAGAAAATGGAATACTTTAGTGCTGCTTCCATCTGCAGTTCTTTTGTCCCAAGTGTTTCAGCACGGCTACATTTAAGCATCATCAACTTCTTCATGGAAGGTTTACTTTTGAGAGCAGCCTTATCTGTCCTGATATTCCACAGTCTGCAGGAACTGGGTTCTTACGAAGCACAAACCCAGTTAGAAATCTGGTAGGTAGATGAATGGGAGAATTTCTCCAATACAGTCTCCTACCACAGACTGATTTTTTTTTTTTTTAAATCTTGTTCAAATTAGACCTCGTAACATTTTACATTATGCCTCTATCACAGGCCATTAAGGAATTATTTTATCAGGGAAGGAAATTTACAGGGAAAAGAGGGAGGATGAACAATTGCACTCAGCAAATTAATGGTTACTAATTGGAGACCTGAAATAGTTTTATGCAAAGAGAGAGAGCAAGAGAGCACGAGAAAGGGAGAGAGAGAGAGAGAGAGAGGGAGGGAGGGAGGGAGGGAGAGAGAGATGATAAATAGATATAACAGATTAAAGAAACAAGATTAGAGAGAGAATGAAGATGATAGATAGATAGATAGATAGATAGATAGATAGATAGATAGAGATAGATAGATAGATAGATAGATAGATAGATAGAAAAATGATAGAAAGATATAGATACTGTAGATATAGATAGATAGAAGGATAGATAAATGATAGAGTAGAGTAGATAGGTAGATGATAGATGGAAGGTTGATAGATAGATAGATAGATAGATGATAGATAGATAGATAATAGATGGATGGATGGATGGATGGATGGATGGATGGATGGATGGACAGATAGATAGATAGATAGATAGATAGATAGAAGATAGATAGATAGATAGATAGATAGATAGATAGATAGATAGATGAGAGAGAGAGAGAGAGAGAGAGAGAGACAGACAGACAGACATGGAGAGAGAGATGGCAAAAGGGCTGTTCCAAAGAGTTTCTCCACATTCCAAAAATCTTCCCATGCTAACAGAGTCTCTATTCTAATTTTGGGGAGCATCGCCCCATATTGTAACAGATAAAAAGCTTCCTTCTTCTTCCATTGAGATATATCCTGAATATAGCCCAAACAGCCTCGCCTTGTCAGAGTTTGCCCGGCTGTGCCCATTTCAAGCCAGGCTTGATTTGACAGGCTCCTCTCTACTAATACGCCGCAACATCAAAAGCAATACGGATTTATGAAAAGAGAAAGAGAGAGAGAGAGAGAGAAAATACTGCCAGCTCCAGCTTAAAAAGATGCCGTTTATAAATCATTCACATCAAAGCTATGGTGCATCTTGCTGGGGTCACCTGGGATTTTCCACGTGCCCAAGCAGACTAACGACCTGCTCTGTAACCATTGTAGTTACCCAAAGCCCAAGGGGGAAACTTTTATCGGAATCCAAATTCTTTAAAGAAGAAGGATGGCAGAAGCAATCTCATGGGCCAAGCTGGATAAGAACCTGACATGGATAGGAGACCCACAAAAGATATCCACCATTCGTGCAGCAACACCAGATGAGATCCCAGCGCCATGGCTCCATGGAAAATGGGACATTCGTCACTTCTTCCCTTCAAATCAAATATTCTTTTTTTAAAAAAACGTTTTTATTGGGTTATAAAATGGAGCGGTGCGGTGGCCTAAAGGTGGAGTTCTCGCCTCACAATCAGGAGGCTGTGAGTTCGATCCTAGGTAGAGGCAGATATTTCTCTCTCCGGGCACACTGAGAATATATATCTGCAGAACAAAATTCCGCATTGGTGACAGGAAGGGCATCAGGCCAGTAAACGCTCTGCTAGTTCCATTCGGCTGCCCAGACTCCATCCCGCAAGGGATTATGGGATCGTTAAAAGATGATGATGATGATAAAGTATTATAATATACAAAATACAAAACTAAATAAGAGGACAGTGAGAGGGAAGGGGAAAGGGCAAAGTAAAATGAGGAAAGAAAGAAAAAGAAACTTGACTTTTGACTCTCTCTGTTACAGTAGAATAAGGCATTAACAACAAATCACAACTTTTTGTTTTGCCATAATAGTATGCGGAAACAAAAGCACTTATGTTCTTTTCTTTAATTAAAGTAGTCGATTTTGCCATTTCAGCCAACTCCATCAACTTCTGCAACCATTCATCCATATTTGAAATCAAATAGTCTTCAGAATTATGTGTATGCCGTTTTCCAGCTTCAGTTTCAACGTATCAGTCGTTTGCCACAAGAGAAGTCCATCTGGCTGATCCACTCACCCCTCTCTCAATTCTCAATCCACTCACCCCTCTCTCAATTGGACAATCTGGAACTGTACCGCCTGCGGTCTGATCTAAGCATAGTACACAAAATTGTCTGCTACAACGTCCTACCTGTCAACGACTT